TGAACAACTCACCCCTCAGGCTTCAGCTCATCACCTCCAGAAAGCCTTCCCTGGCCCCCAATCTAAGTTGGGGCCCCCTGGTTATAGTCCTTCCCCACATCCTTTACTTTTCCTTCAAAACAGTGACCGTGGTAATAAACACATTGTCATGAAAGTGATTATTTGTTCAGTACTGATTTTCCCCCACAGGCTGTGAGCTTCATAAGGACATGGCCCAGACTTTTGTTCTCTCCTCCACTAACCCCACCTACTTAGCCGAGCACCCGCCACAGAGTACGGGCTCAAAGACATTTGGTGCATAAATGAATGAATGACCTCATCAGTGTTACTGAGTCTAGCCGCTCACTTCCCTTGACACACCCACATCGGGCTTGTGGTTACTCAGAATTCCATCTCCGGAATCTTTACCCACTGGGGATTTACTGAGCACCAACTTAAATGCCAGGTCCCGTGCTAGGTGCTGGACACATGCAGATAAATAGAACATGCGAGATCAGATAAATCTTAAAAGTTCCAGTATCCCACTCTCTGACTAGATCTTTCCAGGTTCCGGCTTGCAACTTGACCCTCCGCTATGCCTGCTTTTCAAGCCCACTGAGTGCTCCAGACTATCCCGTTCCTTCCTTCTCCATCCACCCTGGAATGGTGGATCACTTCACTGCTCGCCCCCCTCACCACCCCCCTCTTGCCTCCCTGCCCTCTGATGGCATCCCCGGTGCCACACCTGCCTGTGGGACCTGACAAACCATCCGCCTGCTCAGCCTGCACCCAGAAGACCGACTCTTGCTCAAGAAAATGAGGAGGCCCCGCATGTTGTTGATGGCACAGACGCAAGGTCTTTGAGCAAGGCGGGTCCAGTGTATCCAAAGAGTAGTAATACACCTTGATCAAGTTTCACACTGATCCCATGAAGACCAGAAAAATCTATCAATACCAGTTACGACAGAAACATACACTAAAAACATACAGACATAAATTGAAGCAAAAAAAAAATCAGATGATCATTTCAGTACATTCTGGGAAAATATTTGAAAAAAAAAAAAATCCAGGGGCACCTGGGTGGCTCAGTGGGTTAAAGCCTCTGCCTTCGGCTTGGGTCATGATCCCAGGACCCTGGGATCGAGCCCCATGTTGGGCTCTCTGCTCAGCAGGGAGCCTGCTTCCCTTCCTCTCTCTCTGCCTGCCTCTCTGCCTACTTGTGATCTCTGCCAGTCAAATAAATAAATAAAATCTTTAAAAAAAAATCCGAACCTGTCCTTCCTTTCCTGATCATGAAGAAGAAAGAGGAGGAGGAGGACGGAGAGGAGGAAGAAGATAAAGGAGAAGAAAGCTAGGAGTAGAAGGAAACTTCTTTGATTTGTTTTTAAAAAGCCGGGACGCCTGGGTGGCTCAGTTGGTTAAGCGGCTGCCTTAGGCTCAGGTCATGATCCCAGGGTGCTGGGATTGAGTCCCACATCGGGCTCCTTGCTCGGCAGGGAGCCTGCTTCTCCCTCTGCCTCTGCCTGCCTCTCTGTCTGCCTGTGCTCACTCGCTCTCTCTCCCTCTGTCCCTGACACATAAATAAATAAAATCTTAAAAAAAAAAAAAAAAGCCTCTGCCTCCGGCTCAGGTCATGATCTCAGGGTCCTGGGATGGAGCCCCGCATGGCATCAGGCTCTCTGCTCAGCAGGGAGCCTGCTTTCCACTGCCCCCCCCCGCCCCCCCTGCCTCTCTGACTCTCTGACTACTTGTGATCTCTGTCAAATAAATAAATAAAATCTTTTAAAAAATTAAAAAAAAATTTCTATGCAAGTCAGGAGACAGGCCTATCTCCTGTCATCATTACCTAAATTCATGTCCTCTCTAATGTGATAAAGCAATGAAAAAGAAAGGGCATAACCACTGAGAAAGAAACTATGTATCTCTCACTGTCTATAGCTTATGTGAGCTTCTACTTAGAAACCCCAGGAAAATCCACTGAAATACTATTCCTGACCCAAGACAGTGCTCCTGGTGGCCCTACCTCTTCTCTGGACCTGGCTGGGCAGCTCCTTCCCAATGGGGAAAGTGACCTCAGCAAAACAAGAGAAACCCCGTGTGGTCTGCGTCTGGCTGGCATCTCTCTCCCGTAATGTAGATGGAGGGGGATGGTTTGTGCTCTCGAATGCATTTGCTTTCTCGTTTTTTTTGTTTCTTTCTTTTTTTTTTTTTTTTCTGATTCCTTTAAATATCCCTCCTCAGAGCTCCCCGCCCCCTTCTTCTGCCCCCGGCCCCTAGAGCTCCCCACAGTCCCAAGTCAAAATCCATGCTCCGTGATGTGGCATTCAGGACTTTTCTGGATCTGTCCTGCCTCCTATCTGGATACTGGCCCCCTCTGTTCTCTCATTCGCTCCGAATCTCCCAAGCGTGCTGTTCAGACCACGAGCCCTTTGCCCTCTTATCTCCAGAACACTCTCCCTCCCCTGGGCTCCAAACATACATCCTTCCCAGGACCACTGAACAGGGAGGCCAGGGAGGTGAGCGGAAGGACTCAGAAGGGACCCCACATCAGGGTCCTAGGAGGAGAGGAAAGGAAACAGAGTCCAACCAAGTGAATGAGGGTTTTCAAGGCCAGGGGAAGGGGACAGGCTGATCCCTACCTGATGCTGTCCTCCAGGCGCCCCTCCCCCAGGAACCGCAGGAACATGGCCTGGAGGTCGCTCCAGTACAATGTGCCCTGGTGGGAGTCTGGGCCCGGCTCATAGTTTACGTCCTCGCTGACCACCAACACGTCATCCCCACATGCCTGGCAGGACCCGCGGAAGGCCACGTAGCCCAGAAGGAAAGCTGGGGGATGGCAAGATGGAGACTCCCCTTGCGCCCCGCTCCGGACTCCGTAAATCCCCCCAACCCAGGCCCTTCCCTGGTGGGGGCGGGAAGACTCTCACCCCCAGTGAAGATCAGTAGGGCTGTCAGGACCAGGTAGGGGGCAGCCTTTCGTCCTGTTGCTGCCCAGAGTCCAAGGTTTTGCCTCCCTGCTCGAGAGCCCAGGTCGGGGCCCCTCAGCTCCATGGGGCAGAAGTGGGCTGCTGGCTCAGCCCCCTCCTCCCCGTCTTCCTCTTCCTCCTCCAGGCGCCACTGCTGGGTGCCCTCCACACGCTTGTAGATGGTCTGAGAGGGTCGTGGGGACAACCTTTGCTGCAGGGGGTGGGGGCACAGTGGGCATGAGACTGGGGAAAGAGGCACGGGGGGTAGGATCTGGCCATAACAGTCAGTGATCTGGAGTGCCAAAGGGGCACAAGGCAGGGGAAAGGGTCCCCAGAGGCAAGGTGGAGGGGAGAGATGGAGGTGGGAAGGGGAGGGACCAGCCTTGGGGTTTGGGAGGGGGTGGAAGGACCTGGAGAGAAGGCCTAAAGTGTCCCCCAACCCATTTGGTCTTACCGTTCTCTGAAGTAGACCCCAAAGTCGCTCCATGCTCATGCCCCCTCCTGAGCCCTGCAGGCCGTTCCCCCCACAGTGATAAACCGTTTGTGGGAGCCCCAAGAGGGCCCCTTATCAGCCCTGGCAGGCAGCCTGAGCCCAAGCCGTTCTTCTCCCCCCGAAGGGGTGGGGGCACTGTCCTGGCCTCAGTCCAGCCTTCCAGATATGAACCCCCAGCCCAGGCTAGAGGACAAGGGGCTGTGCCGTCCCCTGCCAATCCCTCCACAGTCCCACTCCTGCCCCTTCCCTGCAAAACAATCAATTTTTTTGACCTTGGGGCAGACTTTGGCCTCCTAGTTCCGGTCAGGGGTGGGGGAGGGGGACTGATGGCTGGGGAGGGCAAAAAGATAAGGATGCTGTCTCCTGCTTCCACCCCTCCCACTGTCCTTGGGGACCCCTTCCTAAGCTCCCCACCATGAAAACCTCGCTCCCCCTCAAGTCATCCGGCTTGCAGGCCCACAAAGCAAGTGCACGGAGTGCACAGCCGGGCCTTGTAACACATTAGTTCCCGGCTCCAACACCTGACCCCAAGCAATCCTAAACTGAATTTGTCACAATGGTGTGACCTGGGGGTTGGTCTGGCCCTGCAGATGACTGTCTCATTGGAATCAGGCTGAGAAGTGTGTCTCAAGCTATTAACTTCTGGGCAGGGAGGGGCATGGGTGGGAGCATAAGGTCAAGAGGGACCAGTGAGTGCTCGGGGTTCTTCAGGATTTGCGTGTCGAGGTCCACGAGGCATTGGTGGAAAGAGTCCTGGTCAAGGCCTGAGCACAGCTGGATGACCTTCAACAACTCATGGCCTTCTCTGGGCACCTACGTCTCTATGGTGACAGGAGGACTTGATTTCTACCTCTTTTGGGTCTGGGCACCCCAGGAACACATCACAGACACAAACTTCTAAGTTTTACCCAGAATTTCACACAGGGGTGCTGGTCCCCAAGCCCTAGCGAGGACCCCCAGGAAAGTGCTCTGGAATAGAAGGGCTCAGGGGCCCCGTGTCGAGGCCTCCCTTAGGAAACCTCAGCTCCTACCCAAATTGGGAGAGAAACTCAGAGCTGCTGGGGCGCACTAGTGCCCCAGACCCCGCCCCATTCTTGCCACCGAGACCCGAAGGAAGACGCAGCGCAGCCAGGCTCACCTGAGCTCAGGTCCGCTGAGGCTTAGGCACCGCCTCCCACCTGAGGCCCCGCCCACCTCAGCCCCAGCCTCAGGCCCCGCCCAAGCCCAGCCCCGGGACTGGCCCCCGGCTCCGCCCACCCCTGCCTCAGGGTCCCGTCTCCAGCACCGGTTGCCGCCCCAACTCCGCTCCTAGCTGGGGGCCCATTCTCGCGGGCTTCTGCCTGATCCTCGCTGCGTGATCCTCCCTGGGTCACGGTCCCTTTGAAACTTGAGGCTTCCAGACTCCTGTGGCTCCCGGGGCTCTGCCCCGGCCCGCAGACTTTGCCCCGGCGTCCACCGCGGGATCACCAAGGGACGTAGGTGTAGCCCTCTCCTCGCCTCCCCCCAACCCCCCCGTCCCCACTCCCGCCACCCCACCCCCGGCCCAAGGAGGCCAAACTTTCTTTTCTTAAAACATTTTTACTCCTTTCAACCCAGAAACATCACAATCTAAGCGGACGAGAAGGGAGGGGTAGAGACGAGGGCTTGGGGGGTGGGGGTTTTGATCTGCGCCCGCGGAGGCCGAGCGGGGAAACCCTCTCCCCGCCTTTGGCGTCCCCTACCCCACCTCGGCGGGCGGCGGGCGGCGGGCGGACGTGTGGGTGTTGAGGGGGCGCCCTCAGGGGCACTTCCGCTCCACACACTGCTTCCCTCCCTCCTCATATTCCTGCTTGGAGATCCACATCTGCTGGAAAGTGCCCTGGGAAGGGGAGGGGGGGACGACAGAGGCCATCAAGACGTCCCTGGAGGAAGGGGGGGTCGCGCCCTCCCACTTTCCACCCGTGCAGGCCCAGCCCCTTGGAAACCCTTCTCCTGCGCTCGGACCCCGGCCTTTCCACCCGCAGGGACCTCCCCAAGCCTCCCGGCCTTCCTTCAAATTCAGAGGGTGAATACCCCCGCTCACATTGCTCAGTCATGACGTTCTTTCATTCATTCAACAAGTATTTATTGCACATCTGTCTGCCCTGGGCCCTGCGCTGGGCTAGCGCTGGGTAGTGGAGCTTACAGCCTCAGGCCAACCAGCCTCCCCGCCCCCCCAGTTCCTCCTGTACCTGTCACTCCATCAAGCCTTACAAACTTGTCCAGTCTCCCACATTCCCAAGAAGAATCTTTCCTCCGCCCTCACTGGAGTTGTCTTTATTCTACATGCCAGGCCCCACGTTGAACCTTGCCCCTTGAGGGTCTCTTGTGCTGGGCATCTCGGACTGTCCCTTCTTTGATGGTTGCTTCATCTCTTCCTGAAAGCTGGTGCCTGGGTCCCTGGTACTGTCCCTCTTTCTCTCCTGGGCTCACAGTCCAAGCCATCCTGAACCAGCTCATCCACTCCTAGGACTTCTGCTCAGGCACTAAAACTCCATCTCTCCCTCAGCCTCCCGTTGCTGAACCCGAATACTAGACCCAAATACTCAGCTGTCTTTGGACACTTCCTTCTGAGTCCCTCAGGACTGCAAACTCAGCATGTGCACCACTGAGCTCCCCTAGGCCTGACCCAGACCTGCTCCGGTGGTCTCTCTCACCTTCTACACTAGCGCTGGCCAATACAGTGGTCACGGAGCACCTGAAAGGTGGCTAGTCGGAATTGAGATGTGCTCTACAGTTACAAAATACATTACGGATACTGAAGACTAAGTCCAGGAAAGAGAATGTAAAAAATCTCATTTTTAGGGGCGCCTGGGTGGCTCAGTGGGTTAAAGCCTCTGCCTTCGGCTCAGGTCATGATCTCAGGGTCCTGGGATCAAGCCCCGCATTGGGCTCTCCGCTCAGCGGGGAGCCTGCTTCCCCCTCTCTCTCTGCCTGCCTCTCTGCCTACTTGTGATCTCTGTCCGTCAAATAAATAAATAAAATATTTTTAAAAAACTCATTTTTATATTGATCACATATTGAAATGATAACATTTTGGATATAAATAAGGTGCATTTTTTTTAAGATTTTTTTTTTAAAGGAGGGACATCTGGCTGACTCTGTTTTTAAGTAATCTCTATACCCAATATGGGTCTCGAACTCACAATCCCTAGATAAAGATTCGCATTTCTACTAATTGAGCCAGGCAGGCGTCCCAAACAAAGTATATTCTCTAAACTTAATTTCTCCTGCTTCTTGGGGCTCTTTTAAAATACGGCTACTAGAAAATTTGAAGTTGGATGTGTGGCTTGCGTTACATTCCTGTTGGACACAGCTGCCAGGAGCTAGCACCCTGGGTGTCATTCTGGACTCCTTCCCTCTATCTCCTTGATCCAAATGCTGCCCTCATCCCGTCCGTTGGACCTGTGATGAGCTCCAGGTTCCACAGCCTGACACGCACTCCTCTGTCAAGCCCCCGTCACAGTGGAGACCACAGCAGCCCTCTTCAAGCCGCTCTCCACTCGGCTGCCCCAGTGAGCTTCCTGACCTCCGGTCCGACGGCGTCTGCCCATCGCCTAGGTCTTGCCTGCCTCTTTCCATAGCCCAGGCACCGTCTCTCCCTCTTTGCCTCGAGAGTTCTTAGTCTTCCATCTCAGCCTGAATGCTCCTTAGGAGGCCCTTTGTGACCCTTGAACTAGATCAGGTCCCCCCTTGTAGGAACACCCCCACACTTTGTTTAATGGCCTGCCCCTGGAGCGGGGACTAGGTCGGGCACGCAGGTGGGGCCACCGGAACTGTATGGCTGACAGGTTCCCAGCCCCCAGCTGACTTTGCACTGTCAGCTTCCTGTATTTCTTTTCTTCTTTTTTTAAAGATTTTATTATTTATTTATATATTATCTCTGCTGAGCAGAGATCCCAATGTGGGGCTCGATCCCAGGACCCTGAGACCATGACCTGAGCCGAAGGCAGAGGCTTAACCCACTGAGCCACCCAGGCGCCCCAGCTTCCTGTTTTCTGACCCTTGTCTGTCTCCCTGGGGGCCTCCCCTCTAAGAGATGTCCTTCCCGCTCTGTCATGGCCCCGCTGTCTTCTCGGTGTGACTGACACCGTGAGTTGAAGTTTTCACCTCCAGCTCCCCGCTCAGTGTCTTGCCTGAGCCCAACAGCAGGCCCAGACAGAACTCCCCACCTACTGCCCCAGAACCAGCCTGCCTGTCTCCCTCTCTCTGCCTCTTACCCACCACCCCCGTCCCTCACTGCCACTCACTCTGTGACTCCTGGATAATGGAAGGAGCATCCTCTCAAGGTCCCCCCTTGTCCAGCTCACACCCTGATCTCCATAGACTCATGCCTGACGTAGTCTTCCCAAACACGACTAGGACTGTCACACTCCTTCCTCTCCCCAAACCTTCAGTGTCTCCCCTCTGCTTAGCACAGTGGGAGCCTCAGCACAGTCTCAACCCCCACCAGTCTCTCCAGCTTCCTGTCCTCCCTGATTTGTCCTGATGGCAGAGTCACCCTTCTGGGAGCACTAACTTCTCTTTCTCAAAAATAAATATTTGTTGGGGCGCCTGGGTGGCTCAGTGGATTAAAGCCTCTGCCTTCAGCTCAGGCCCTGATCCCAGGGTCCTGGGATCGAGCCCCGCCTCGGGCTCTCTGCTCAGCGGGGAGCCTGCTTCCCCCTCTCTCTCTCTGCCTGCCTCTCTGCCTACTCGTGATCTCTGTCTGTCAAATAAACAAAATCTTTAAATAAATAAATATTTGTTGAATGAACGAATAAGGAGGCAAGGGGATGGGGCCATGTGGGTCTGCCCCTTTCCCACAGCCAGGGCCCCTTCCCTCTCACCAGTGAGGCCAAAATGGAGCCCCCGATCCAGGGGCTGAACTTGCGCTCCATGGTGCTGTTGCTGGCGATGAGTTTCAGCCGCATGCTCTGGGGGGAAAGAGGGGCTGGGGGAAGCAGACACCTGGGTTCCGGGAAGGGACAGGGCTGGAAGTGGGGAAGTCTGGGAAGCCACAGGGGGAGGGGTCTGCTCTGGTGGCCAGAAGCCTTGCTATTGGGGAAGGAGGAAGGACGGGGTCCTGAAGAGCTAAGCCAGGACCCTGGTCAGGGTGGTCCCCTACCGGCGGGGTCTTCTGGGAAAGCTCTCGATTGAGCCTGTCCGTGAAGCCCTGGAGCAGCGTGTTCCCGCCAGTGACAATGACACTACCATACAGGCCCTGGGAGCAGAGAGGAGAGAGCCTTCAGGGCCCAGCCCCTGCCAGTCTCCCCGCGGTTCCCGGGCCCCTCTGCCCAGACACAGACTCGGGCCTCACCGGGCGGATGTCGATGTCACACATGCCGATGCTGGTGGTCACCACGTGGCCCACACCCAGCATGGTGTTCCCCGACAGGCCCTGCCGAGAAAGGTGACCTGGGGTTTGGAGCCTCTGCCCTCTCTCCCCAGACCCCAGGGATCCTTCCCAGCACCCCCGCCCACAACACGCCGGCCTCTGGGGAATCCAATCAGCCTCTAACCAATACCTCCCCTGGGGGCCAACCTTGACATTGGAGGGATCAAACAGGCCCTCTGGAATGCGGAGCCGCTCCGCACCGTAGTCTGTGTTGTAGCCGTTGGGCATCTCGTAGTGCACTGTGGGCATCTGTGCAGCCACCCTGACCAGGAAAGAGAGAGACTCTGCCTGGGGGTGCTCACAGAGGACCAGGGGCACCCCAAGAGTCCCAGACCTGCCCTCTTGCCCACCCCTGGGCCGGGGGTACCACTTACTGCTCGTCATAGGGAGAGTCTGAGACCTGCAGCACAGAGGCCTGGAAGTCCTGAATCACCTCCTGAGGACCCAGGGAGCTGGTCAGGGCCCGGGCTCCCTCCGCAGCATCCCCAAACTGTCCACCTGCCAGGCCTCCCTGTCCCTTCCCCTCTACTCATGGCAGGGGACTAGGAGCTGGGGAGGGCCTGGGGCTGTTTCGGGGGACTCTCTCCTCACGTTGCACATGTAGTTATGCCAGGACTTGGAAACCTGGGGTAGCTTCTCCTTCTTCTTCCAGTTTGGAGGGGCGCCCTCCCGTACGGGTTCCTGTGGGGACACAAAGCCTCTGAGCACCCTTCCTCCGCTCCACCCCTGTCCAGCCCACCCCGACCACACCTGTGCTGCTGCCGCTAACAGGCACTGGGTTCTTTGCTCTGTTGCCTACAAAAGGGGTCTCTCCTCCTTCCCTGTCAAAGGAGAGAGAACAGGGAGAGCCTGTCCCCATGCCCACCACTCATGCAGCAGGGACAGCTGATCTGAAAGGCCCCAGCCAGAGAAAGCTGAGGGCGCAGGGAATACAGTGGGAGACCAGAACCTTAAAGAAGCAGCCTTTTCCTGAGCCATGTTCCATGTGGGGGTCCAGGGTGAACCCCCGTAGGCAGTGTCTCAGCACTCCCAGCAGCCCTGTATGCTGTTAATGCCACTTCGCAGGGGAAGAAACCAAGGTATGGGGAGCTTTGTTCTCCTGCTCTGGGTGGCACAGCGCTCACGTGGCAAAGGCAGACTTTGAACCTGGGTCTATCCCGCTTGCCCTCATACATCCTGCTACCAGCAGGCTGTATGACCTTGGCCACATCCTTCAGCCTGTCCGATCTCCGATGCCTCGGTTATAAATTAAGGAACTGGACCCAGGGTCCTCTGGGGACCCTGCTGCTCCCTGCTCTGGTATCTAGTGGGTCAGTGCGTCAACAGTCACAGGGTGAGTGCCCAAGACTCCCCGGAGACCCCACCTTTGCTGCAATCATGTAAGGTGGGATGATGTCGATGGCCATTTCCTGGAAGAGCTCCCGGCACTGCATGGAGATGAAGTCCCCTGCCAGGGGTGACTTGACGATGCCTGGAAAGGGAGGGGGTGTTAGGGGTTGGATCCCCTCCCCGCCAACCAAAGCATCCCTGACCCTGTCGAGGCCCCCACCTTGTTGCAGGACATAGCCATCATGTACTGGGATGGCTGTGGTGTGGGTGGCCCCACTGTCCAGCACCAGGCCTGTGGAACGTCCGTTTGCAAAGCTGGTGTGGGATGGGTAGGTCAAAGAGATAGCAGCAGCAAGTGAGGGGACTGGAGCTCAGGTATGGCCTGGTCACTCACTGCTTTCCTGGTCCAGCCCATCCACAGTCTGCAAATCTCTCATTCTGGCTTATGACCCATCACTGGAGAAAGGTTCCTGAGACCCCTGTCTCTTCTTCCCTGTCTGAATTACAACTTCTTCCTCTTTCTCCTTCCTTCTGCCCTCCCAGTTTCTCTTTAGTCTTTGTTCAGTGCTCTGTGGGCACCTTGAGATGAGGGGCCCTATTGCCCCAGCGCCTAGCACAGGGGCCAGTGCAAGGCAGAGACTTTAAAAAATGAATGCTGATTGGCTGTTTGTGGAGGAAACTCCTCAATGTTAGATATTTCTCCCTGTTCTCTCCAGTCCCAGCCCCTGCTGTCAATGTGGTCCCACTCTCCCCCACCCCCACTCCCCATCCCAGTTCAGCCTGATCCAAGGAATAGGAAAGAGCTGCTGATCTGGCCACCCCAGGGTCAAAGGCACTTAGCCCACAGGGGTCCTTCTGCACTAATGGGGTACAAGGTGGGTGTCTGCCCCTCCAGGATACTATCTCCACAGAATCAGGTCCAGCCTCCTGCTCCACACACCGCAATCCCCACCCTGGCCCTCCACCCAGCCAGAGCAGCTCCTGCCAGAGGATACGCGGTGAGCACAGCCGTCTTGCATAAGAAAAAGGCAGGAATGTTGTACTGCTCGAACATCAGCTCTGTCAGCTTCTCCCGCTTGGCCCGTGTGTTCCACTGGGGAGAAAGTGCAGGAAGGGAGGCTTCAAAAAGGGAGAGGCACAGAAACGCGTGCACGCGCGCGCGCGCGCACACACACACACACACACACACACACACACAAACTTGGACTGGGGACAGAGATCAAGTCTCTTGATCCACACAGACCTTCAGAGTGTGAGAGCTATGAAGAATTTCAAAGGTTACAAACCAAACCCAGCTGAAAAAATAAAAACTCAGGGAGAGTGACTTGACCAAGTTCACATACAAAGCCCTTGGTAGAGCTTGATAGAGTCATAGTCCCTTGACTTCTGGCCACCGTTCATTATTGTACCATATATACTTTGACTCCTTTCAGCCTACAGTTTATCCCTCTCTTCCTCACTTTCAGCATCTCAGAGGCAAGAAAGCGGAGAAGAGGATTTCTGGTAGGAATTGTGGGTTGAATTAAAACATCCAATGTTATCCTCTTCCAAGATCCCAGCAAAAGGGGTAATTTAGGGGCACCTGCGTGGCTCATTCAGTTAAGCGTTTGCCTTCAGCTCAGGTCATGATCTCAGAGTCCTGGGATGGAGCCCTGCATCAGGTTCCCTGCTCAGCAGGAAGTCTGCCTCTCCCTCTGCCTTTCCCCCTGCTCGTGCTTTCTCTCTCTCTGTCTCTCTCTCAAATAAATAAATAAAATTTTAAAAAGGGGGTGCAATTTAAAAAGATATAAACCCATGGCACCTGGCTGGCTCAGTTGGTAGAGTACGCAACTCTTGATCTTGGAGTCATGAGTTCAAGCCCTACATTGGGCATAGAGGTTACTTTTTAAAACAGGGGGGCGGGGTGCCAGGGTTGTGCAGTTGGTTAAGTGTCTGACTCTTGGTTTCAGCTCAGTTCATGATCTCATGGTTGTGAGATCAAGCCCCTCATCAGGCTGCGTACTCAGCACAGAGTCTGCTCAAGATTCTCTCTCCCTCTCCCTCTGCCCTTCCTGTTTGTGCTCTCTCTCTCTCTCTCTCTCTCTAAAATAAATTAGGAAATCTTAAAAAAAAAAAAAAAAAAGGACACAAGGCCACAGAAGCTAACCAGCACATGAGAAGATGCTCAACATTGTTAGTCATTAGGGATATGAAATTTGAAAGCACAATGAGATACCACTTCATACCCACTACAGTGTTGATAATAATTAAGGAAAAAAGAAGGACATAGAAACACTGAAACCCTTGTACATTGCTGTGGGAAGGTGAAATTGTTCAGCCACTATGGAAAACAATCAATTTCTCAAAAAGTTAAACACAGAATTACCATATGACCCAGCAATTCCACTCCTAGTTATATAACCAAAATAACTGAAAACAGGTACTGAAATAAATCCACATACACAACTATTCAAAACAGCACTATCCACAATAGCCACAGATGGAAACAACCCAAAAATCCATGAGTGGATAAATTAGAAAAACAAATTGTGGTACAGCCATACAATGCAATGCTACTCAGCCATGAAAAAGAATAAAATGCTGAATAAATGCTACAGCATGGATGAACCTTGAAAATATTATGCTAGTGACAGAATACAGACATGAGAAGTCACATATTGAATGATTCCATTTATAAGAAAGATCCAGAATAGATACAGTCATTGAGACACAAACCAGACTGATGGTTGCCAAGGGGAAGGAGAGTAGAGAGAAACTGGTTAATGAAAATGTACTTTCTGGGGCACCTGGGTGGCTCAGTGGGTTAAGCCTCTGCCTTCGGCTCGGGTCATAATCTCAGGATCCTGCGATCGAGCCCCGCATCAGCTCTCTGCTCAGCTGGGAGCCTGTTTCCCCTTCTCTCTCTGCCTGCCTCTCTGCCTACTTGTGATCTCTCTCTCTTTCAAATAAATAAATAAAATCTTTAAAAAAAAAAGAAAATGTACTTTCTTTTGGGGTGGTGAAAATGTTGGGGAACTAGATAAAGATGATGGCTACACAACATTGTGAATGTGTTACATGCCACTGAATTGTTAACATTAAAAAAGTTAATTTTCTGTTGTGTGAATTTTACCTCAAAAAAGAGAGAGAAGAGGAGATAGAGAGACACCCTCAAGGTTTGGGAATAATAAGGAAGGAAAAAACAGCAACATAGTTTTGAAGGTTGGAAATCAGATAGTTAAGTGGTAACTGACAACAAATTCAAGAACACGGATTCCTAAGCTGATAGTGGAAAAAGCCAGGAACAACCTGTGTCAAATTGTAGAATCCTCAGAGGGTTCAGGAATTGGTAGTTTCGAGTACTTGTGGCAGTTAAGGTCAAGGGCAAGCTAAAATAAGATGGTTTAAAGCCATTCAAGTGACAGCTCCCAAAACTCTCTCCCCAGTTCCATGTCACTAGGATAGTACCCACCCCAACCTCTGCAGAAGACTGGAAGTTTATTCCCTAGAGTAAAACTGAGGGTCTCTGTCCTGGTGAGACACTTGACACAGTCAGGAGTGAAGACATTATACTTAAAGGAGGAGAAGTAAGTGATTCCATGCATATTAAATGGTGATAACCTTAGCCCTATTCCCACTTGGCTCCCAGAAAGGGGATGGCCAGTCCTGTCTGTAGAGTACAAGTCTTCCCCATGGGTTACATCAGAGATCTAAAGACGCCAATTATCAGAGGCTTCCTAACAATCATCCCAGGCAAGTCATCCTGTAGCAACATCCTTTATCATGACAGTCAACGAGTGCCCCATACCACAGAGCCTCCAACCAGTGTTTCAGTCCACCACTTGCAAACATAAGCACACAACCAAGGATTTCTCAGAAATCTGAGAAAAGTCTCACAAGTGAGATAGAGACCTCCCAAAAAGGGCAGGGGGAAAAAGCAATTTGGAAGAACAGAGATCATGCAGGGAAATGAAAACTTCCCAAAACAGAAACAAAACTAATATTATTCTGAGAAAACACATGATACTGCACCCATGAAGGAAGGACTGGAAGTCCTAAAAAGTAATATTCGTGGAACAAAAAGAGCTCTTGGAAATTGAAAATACAGGAGGAGAGATGAAAAAAATCAATAGAAGGGCTGAAAACAAAGTTGAGGGAATATCTTGGTAATTAGAGGAAAAGAGAAAAGGAAGGAAAACAAAAGAAAAAAAGATAAGGAAATGAGAGGACCAGTTCAAGAGGTGCAAAATCCAAATGATATTTTCCAAAAGACAGAACAGAGAATATTGAGAGAAATATATCACCAAGGGGTGCCTGGGTGGCTCAGTTGTTAAGTGTCTGCCTTTGGCTCGGGTCATGATCCCAGGGTCCTGGGATCAAGCCCCACATTGGGCTCCCTGCTCAGTGGGAAGTCTGCTTCTCCCTCTTCTGTTTCTGCTCTGTTTAATGCTCTCGCTGTCTCTGTCTAATAAATAAATAAAATATTTTTAAAAAGAAATATATCATCAAATAAATAATTAAAACTACTTAATTGAATAATTACTGACTTACTTTTTTCACAGAATTGAAAGACATAGGTTTTCAGATTGAAGGGACATATTGAGTTTTTAGAGCAATAGACGAAAATTAAACAATACAATATGGAGAAATTATACAACACTGAAGACAAAGTGAAAATTCTACAAACTTTCACAAAGAAAAACATTACACCAAAAGATCAGGAATTAGATAGCTCTGCCCTCTTTTTTTTGTTGTTGTTTTGTTTTACTTAGTAAATTTAAAAAATTTTATAAACAAATAATGTATTTTTATCCTCAGGGGTACAGGTCTGTGAATCGCCAGGGCTCTGCCTTCTTGACGGCAACAATAGGTGCTAGAAGCACCTTCAAGATTTTAAAGAAAAATGATTTCCAATCTGGAATGTTATACCTAGCTAAGCTATCAATCACGGTCAGACATGCAAGGTCTTAAAAATTTTACTTCTCATGACCTTTCTAAGGCAGTTACTAGAGGATGTGCTCCAGGAAAAGGGAGTACATCAAGAAAAGGAGTAATGAGATACAAGAAATAGGACCTCTAGCATAGGAGAGAGGTGAAGGGATGCTTTAAGAAGGTGAAGAGAGATGACAGGATGAGAGCTATGTCCTTTGTGTAGAAGGGAACAAGTCCAAGGTGGAGCAAATCAGTGGGTCTTTGGAGAGACTCCTTCAAGAAGATGAAATTGATAGAATATCTAATGGAGGGGTGCCTCCATTTTTTTTAAATCTTATTTTTTTTAAGATTTTATTTATTTATTTGACAGACAGAGATCACAAGTAGGCACAGAGGCAGACAGAGAGAGAGGGGGAAGCAGGCTCCCCGCTGAGCAGAGAGCCCGATGTGGGACTCAATCCCAGGACCCTGAGATCATGACCTGTGCTGAAGGCAGAGGCCTAACCCACTGAGCCACCCATGCGCCCCAAATAAATAAATTCTTTTTTTAAAAGATTTTATTTATTTATTTGAGAGAGAGACAGTGAGAGAGAGCATGAGCGAGGAGAAGGTCAGAGAGAGAAGCAGACTCCCCGTGGAGCTGGGAGCCCGATGCGGGACTCGATCCTGGGACTCCAGGATCATGACCTGAGCCGAAGGCAGTCGTCCAACCAACTGAGCCACCCAGGTGTCCCCCAAATAAATAAATTCGTTAAAAAAAAAGAGTAACTAATGGAGTTAATGTTTTGAGAAAGGATATAGATAATATAAACAGATAAGTAATAAGCAGATGTATAATTTAGGGTCATATTATTAAATAAATAGAAGGTTAAGCAAAATAAAAACCAGTACAATATTCAGTTCTAGGAAAAACAGCTGTGCAGGAAAGAGAAGTGACAGTAGTTTATTGCCCATCCCAGACCTGATTAGCATACATAACCATAACTGTGTAAATACAGAAAATGACTTTTTATAACTTTTAAAAAAGATTTTATTTATTTATTTGACAGAGAGATAGAGAGCACAAGTAAACAGAGTGGCAGGCAGAGGGAGAGAGAGAAGCAGGCTCTCTGCTAAGCAGCTGAGCCTGATGCGGGGCTCGATCCCAGGCCCCTGGAATCATGACCTGAGCCGAAGGCAGCCACTTAACTAACTGAGCTACCCAGATGCCCCAGAAAATGATTTTTTTTTTAAATTTAAAATAAAACCATATTTAAAGGTGGGGAATGAGGGCAGTGTGTGGTGTGAGCTGAAGGAAGAAAGAGTTCAAGGTTTCCTTCCTTCCTTCCTTCCTTCGAGAGCGTGCACATTCCCAAGGCAGGGGAGGGGCATAGGCGGGGAGAGAGAGAATGAATATCCCAAGCAGGATCCAGCTCAGCATGAAGCCCCAGGTGGGGCTCAATCTCAGGACCCTGAGATCATGACCTGAGCCAAAATCAAGAGTCCCAACATTCTACTGATTTTCTATGGTGGGAAACCAATGCCTGAAACTGTAAAATCCATAAGCAGCATTTTGAGTGTGATATTTAGAGATACGGAGTACATGATGAAACTTATCTAAAAGAAAAGCAGGTGCCTCTGGAAAAGGGGAATGTAAAGAAGGGGATATGAATGGTAGTTCTTTCCTTAACATAGTTTATAAAGCAAACTGATTATGTACATATATAACATTGGCAAAATTTTTAACTTAAAAGATCCAAAAAAGACTTTGGTGGGGGGAGGGGAGAAACAGCAGTAAAATAAGCCAGAATGCGCAAAATATATGAATGGATAAAACAGGAGGAGGGAGAGGGATAAAGACTAAAACCAGAAAGGAAAAAAGTGCTTGAAGGTGGTGGAGTTGGAAGAAAAGTCCGAAAAGTTAAGTGGAGTGATGATGGATGGCAGATGCCTTAAGGGTGGGGAAGAGAAGTGAATGGCAGAAAGGAGGCAGAGAGCCCCGGGGCAGGACTGGGGTTTGGGTAAGGCACTTACCGGGGCCTCGGACATGAGCACTGGGTGCAGGTTGGGCTCAGACTTGACGTGTTTACTGTAGGTATGATCCAGAATGGCACGGAAGCATTCCCAGTCTTCAACTGGGGCCAGGAGACCAGCATGGAGAGACGAGGGTGGGCCAGCAGGGGTCCAGGGACAGGAAGCAAGCAAGGAGGGAGGCCAAGTCCAGGGGAAGGGAAGTGAGATCAGTTCCAGCAGAAATCCCCCCTTCCTAGGTATCTGTCGGGCCCCTGGGCTGGGAACCAGGCAGCTGTGGGCAGCTGCCAGGTAGACTCCATGGGTGTGGGGTGATGTGTCCCGGGTTGTGGTGTGTGGGCTCCGGGTCTGTGGCGGGAGACGGTGGGTGGGGGCTCCTTACTCATGCCATTCTTGAGGGGCGACATGACCTCCGCTCCATCCCGAGGCACATGCAGGGCGTTGGTGTCGATGTGGAAGATCTTCCCTTTCTTCTCTTTCTCCCCCTCCAACTCCAGCCCGCCCCCCTCCTCCGCGGCCAGCAGCCCCACCGTGGTGGGGAAGTCAGCCTGGAGGGAATATGGGCAGGAAGAGGGATCAACCTCCTGCCCCTGTCCAGGCCCATAGCAAGGTCCTCAGCCCGCCCATGGGTTTATTCCCACATTCCCGCTCTCCAGAGCTTCTCTCTGGGTTGTGAGAACCCTGGGTCACTAGGAAGCATGGAGAGGAGTCTGGAGCCCCTAGGACTCGGGGATGGGGCTGAAAAGCTCACCTTGGGGCAGTCCTCTCCAGCGTACCCAGCGCGGACTGAGAAGGAGCCAATGTCAAAGACCAGCGCCCCCACCTCATCTGTGCAGGGAGACAGGTGTATGAGGGGACTTATTCCAAACTCTCCCCGCTATCCACCCCTCCCCCGGCCCAGGCCCCGGATAGCTCTGAGAGGAGGTCAGGGCAGAGACACAGTTTCGCCACCTTCAACGCTTGCCAGGGCAGGTGGGAGCTCGGCCTGGAGTCTGGGGTCCTGGGAGTGGGCTCAAGCCTACAGAGTCCCTTCTTGCCCGGTGGCCTTATTCAGGCCACTCTCTTTGCCGGGAAAGAAGGGGCCGGAGGAGGGGTGCGGGAGGAGGTGAGTTGGATGGTGGAGAGTGAGCCCAGTGCGCGCGAGCGACCTAACCCGGAGGACCAAGGTAGGAGTGGCGCAGGACCCAAACCCGTTCGAGCGCCGGGTGAGAGGCCCTGGGGTGCTCAGAGCTTAGGTCGCGCGGGTTCGGGGTGCAGGGCTGCCGGTGAGGCCGCGACAGGCTGGGGAGCGTGAAGCCCGAGGCTAGCTCACCTCCGCCGTAGACGCCCCCGCTCATAATGCCCTCTCAGCGTTGCTCACGGCCCGTGGGCGGCGGCGGGATCAGCACCGAGGCGGCCGGACAGCTCCCGGGATCCCGGGCGGGGCGGGGCGTGCGGTGGCCAATCAGGAGGCCGGATCCCCCGCCCCCAAAGGCTCCGCCGATTGGCTACAAGGCTAGACAATAACCTGACCGGGGGCTGCTGCTTTAAAGGGGCAGACACCGCAACTTTAAGATTTGGGAGAAGATAGCCAAGGACTTTGAGACTGACCCCAAGGGATAGCCAGGTAGAGAGCAGACGTACCAAAGAAATGGAAACCTTGTCCATCTGGACCAGGACGCCGCGGGATGACTGACGGGGCCCCTGCTCCCTTACTTTTGTAAATGGGGTGGAGGAGAGGGCACCATAGTCCTGGAGAGTTGTTCATTCTCCGGCTCCTGAGCAAGGTTCTGCCATTCTCAAGCCTGAATGAAGTCACAGGGCAAAGGAAGGAAAGGAAGAAGGGAAGAAGGAGAGGTACAGGACGGGGTGTGTCTCCATCTTCTCCCCGTTTCTTTCCACCCTTATCTTTCTAATGGCCCCTCTTTTCCTCTCCCATCCCAGGTGCGTGGGCCCTATACATACACGTGTACCCGTGCTCAGCTAACCCATCTTTAGCTTCCTTCCCTCATTATTTCTCCCCAGCTCTTTTCCTGGCCTGCTACCACCTCCACAGCAGTTTTAATAGCAAAGGGGAAGGCGCAGCTCCAACAGCCTGGCTTAGCTGAGAGACTCTTACGTGAGCATGTGTAGATGTGTGCCTGAATGTATGGGTTTATGCGTGTCAGGGTATGTGTGCATACGCATGTATGTGCGTGTATGTATATGCATGTGAATACGTTTGTTTTGAGGGCACTACCACCTACTTGCTGAGGGGGGGGGGGCACTAAGACCATGGATGGTGGGTTTCAGCACCCCCTCCCAAAAGACCATAGATGGCACAGGAAGAGGGTACCTTGTGACAGCCAATGCCCCAGCAGTTTCTCTGCTCACCAGATGCCCATTCTGGAAGAGGCTTCGCCAGCCCCTCCCCCACAAAGGACAGATGGTTTAAGATGGCTCATTGATTACCCATTGGCAACAATGGCATTTCACATGCCCAAAGCTGGCTGGGAGTCCAGGCCTGGCACCTCAGACTGGAGGTGTCCGGACTTAAGTGGGAGAGGTGAGCTGTAGGGGAGAAAGCTGACTCTATTGGGAAACTGAAATATTCCTGAGAGACTTAGTTATTGGCCTCTATAAATGAGACCTGGATGACTGGATGAGCCCCTTGACCTCTCGGCAACTGCATTTCTTTATCGTCCACAATTATTATTATGATTATTATTGCTGAGGTGAGGCTTAGGGGGACAATGGAGTGGAAAGTGATTCTATTCGTGGCCTGCCCCTCTCATTTTGTTGACATTTAATGACATTGCTTCACTTCTCTGTCACCCATCCCTTAACCCAGTCGGGTCTCAGATTCAGAGACTGTCCCAAGTCAGGAGAAACCTCACTGATAATGGATCAAGCCCTGTCTTGGGTCTCACACCCAACTGGGGCAGAGCCTGAGCTATAACTCACAGCTCTGATCAGCCAGTTGAGACATGACCTTATTTCATAATACTTCTGTGTCCCAGTCCAAGCTTCACCATCCCTAGTTGAAGGATGGCTGGGACTGAGGACACAGTCTGATGCCAGAATCAAGTGTCTGGCTAAGAGCTGGGCATGAAGGACTGTTCAGTAAACACTGGTCCTGAGAATGTTCCTCGGGAGTTTTTGAGGCTTTACTACTATTATTCACAAGTTAGAAATCGGTAGTGTTGTAATGAGAACTGAATTTTCCTCTCATGGTTGGTGGAGAAACTACAGGTGGCTGACTACACCCCTGGACTTGATTTGCCTTCCAGTCAACTGTGGCCAATTTCCATGGGTCATTTTGTTGTACTATGATTCCGTTGCATTATTTATGTAGTTCAGGTAAAAATTACTAATACATTTCACCATCCACTCATTGATTCAGCAAACATCTTTGTGCAAGGCACAGGAGTACCAAGATGCATAAGATCTATCCCTGTTCTCAAGGGGTTTTGGTGCAATGGGGAGTTCAGACATGCATGAAAGTGGGGGGAAGTGAGGGCCTGGAGGAGGGAGGGGCTACCTGTCTCTGAGAGCCCAGGGAAGCTTCTAGAAGTGAAGTGTGAGCTGAATTGTGAAGGATGAATAGGGTTTCACTGGTGAACAAGGTGGGTCTTCCACACAGAGAATAGCATGTGCAAAGTTCTAGAGACATGAACATTTCTGGCATACATAGAGTCAGGAGCTCTGGCTTGAAGGAGGGTTGCAGATGAGCTGGTGGCAGAGACCAGAGTCAGAGGGAAATGAGACTGGAAAAGTGGACAGAGACCAACTCGTTCATACTTAAACTCTATTTTGATTTGGCAAACACATAACATCCAGTGCCTGGATGTAAAGCATTATAAGTGCTTTACAAATGTTAAGTAATTTAGCTCTTGTAATAACCCGACTATCATCCCCACTTTGCATGGGAAACAGGCATGGAGAGATCAAGTGATTGGCCCAAGGTCATTCAGCTAGTAAATGACAGAGCTGAGGTTTGAACTGTGGTGTGTGGAAAGTATTGATCCTGGGGAAAATGTTACCTTGCTTCTATTCATTTCACAAATGTTCTCTAGGGGCCTGATAGACACCAGGAATAACATGGCTCACATAAGTTGATGTGACTCTCCTAGGGTTTAATGTCTATGCTGGAAGATGGAGGGTTAAATAATTAATTCCACAAAATCATCTGGAAGTTCTCACATTCCAAGCCCACATTCAGGGTGGCCAAAGATGGACATCTGGTAATGAGGTGAAAGGTGGTGGGACCCGCACCCTAAGACCCCACACCTTGGAAGTGATTTGGCATCTTGTGATGGTCTATTCCTTGCTCGATGAGCTCTCCCCCAGTCCTCTGCCAGAAAAATCAACAGTCTTGGCTTCACAGGGAGCCCCTCCCTAGTGAAAGTGGTGAGTGCCCAGAAAAGGCCGCAATAGGAGTGGAGCCAGCATTGCAGTGGGGCACAAATAACAGTGTGGTCGGGTAGGCAAATTTTAAACTAAGCCTGTGAAAATGGAACTGAATTTTCCCAGCTGACAAAGAAGTCGTCTTGGAGTGGGGGTAGAAGGCGTTCTGGGAGGGGACAAGACCCAGCCTGTGTGTCATGAAGTTTGGCCCTTCTCATGGAATCAGTGGGCAACTACTGCATAGTATTTGGTTTTGTTTTTTTAAGATTTTATTTATTTATAATGACTGAGAGAGAGAGCATGAGAGGGGAGAAGGTCAGAGGGAGAAGCAGACTCTCACATGAAGCTGGGAGCCTGATGCGGGACTCGATCCTGGGACTCTGGGATCATGACCTGAGCTGAAGGCAGTTGCTTAACCAAATGAGCCATCCGGGCACCCTACTACATAGTTTTGAACAATGAAGTTATATGATTTAATTTGCATTTTAGAAAGGTGTATCTGGTAGCTATTTGGCAGATGAATAGAGAAGAACTAACTTAGAGGTCAGGATATAGGCTAGGACTGGGTAATAGTATTTGGCATATGGCGGAAGGGATGGATTTAAGCAATATACAAGAGGTAGGATGGACAAGATGTATCTACCAGTGACACAGATTGCTAGCCTTACATCAATGGCCGCCTCCCTTCTTTCTTTATTAATAGTGTTTTAGGTGGGTATATGGCTAGAGACTACATTTCCCAGCCTTCCTTGCAAATGGCCAACCTCTGAGCAGAAGTTAGGGTTGCCCTTAAACAGGAAAGAACTTATGCTTTCCACCCCACCCCCTTCCCAGTGGGTGAAATTCAGGTATGATTGTGGAAAGCTGCTTGGGCCATACTAGACACAGAGGTGGAAGCTAGGTGCTGAGGATGGCAGACACGCCCCCACAGTCCTGGAGGATCTATTTTAAAGTTGTCTCTTGGGGTGCCTAGGTGGCTCAGTTAGTTAAGCATATGCCTTTGGCTCAGGTCATGATCCCAGGGTCCTGGGATCCAGCCCTGTGTCCAGCTTCCTACTCAGCAAGGAATCTGCTTCTCCCTCTGCCCCTTCCCACCACTTATGGTCTCTCTCAAATAAATAAATAAAATCTATAAATAAATAAATTAAATTGTCTCTTAAGCTGTCGAATTTTGGGAACTCTTTGTTATAGCAGCTTGGCCTAGATTTTTTTTTTAAGATTTTAATTATTTATTTGACAGAGGGAGAGATCACAAGTAGGCAGAGAGGCAGGCAGAGAGGGAGGGGGAAGCAGGCTCCCCGCTGAGCAGAGAGCCTAATGTGGGGCTCCATCCCAGGACCCAAGACCATGACCTGAGCCAAAGGCAGAGGCTTAACCCACTGAGCCACCCAGGTGCTGCTGGCCTAGATCTTAACTAGCTGATCATCTCTGGATATGGGGAATGAGGGTGTGAGAAGCTCCTGAGTGGATGGTGATGCCATTAACTGGGCCAAGAGATTCAGAGACAGAGTAGTGTTGTGCAGGGTGGGATGGGGTAGAAGAGGATTAATTTAGTTTTGAATGTGTTGAAGGCGACATGTCTGTGACCAGTGGTGTATAGTAAATGGTTTAAAAATCAGCTCTTCTGGGGGCGCCTGGGTAGCTCAGTGGATTAAAGCCTCTGCCTTTGGCTCAGGTCATGATCTCAGGGTTCTGGGATCGAGCCTGCATAGGGCTCTCTGTTCAGCGGGGAGCCTGCTTCCCGCCCCCTCTCTCTGCCCGCCTCTCTGCCTACTTGTGATCTCTGTCTGTCAAATAAATAAATGAAATCTTAAAAAAAAAAATCAGCTCTTCCGGAAAGGGGAGCCCTGAGCTGAAGCCTTTGCCAATTTCCGTGGTGTAAATAAATACTCCCATCGTGACAATGAAAAGTTACTTCTATCCACATGACTTCACTGAACAAGGAGTTGGGAAGAGAGGTGCACACTGGGCTCTTGTGAGCCGGTGTGAACAGATACAGCTGATTGCAGCACACCACTGTCTGTGAGCAACCACGTGAAGATACTCAGGTTGCAGTTAGACACACACCAAATCTACACAGGGGGTGGGGAGGGTGGGGAAGAACTCTGGGCCTGAGATGGAGATTTGAGAGGTATAAGCAATTCAAGGACAGTCACAGTAATGAAGGAAGGCACCAGTGAGAAAAGGAGGCTGAGGCTGGGATCCTGAGAGAGACAGTGTTCACGGAGGCCTGGAGGAGGAGGGGAGGACCGAGGAGAAGCCTGAGAAAGGAGAGTCAGAGGAAGGAGGAAGTGGCCCATGCTGTGAGAGCCAGGTTCTCCACATGTGCTCCAGGGCTCCCGCTTTCTCAGAGAAACTGGTCACCCATTGGCCATTCCCCAACCCTTCTGTACCCTTCACCTCCCCCAGCCCCCATCCTTCCCATTATCATCTACAGAAGTTCCAGTAGCTCCTAACACAACGCAAATACCTTGACTTCGGATTCTCCTCTCACCATATGTAGCCCCACCTTTCCACTCCCACCCCTTCCAAGTCAAGATTCCCAGAGCTTTGGCCACTTTGGTTATCTCCACTGCCTCCTTTTTTATTTTATTTTTTTCTTTTTTACTTACCCTCAGCCCACTACAAGCAAAGCAGTCACTGCAAGCACTCTTGACGAAGTCACCAATGGCCTCCACGTTACTTAATCTCATAAACACTTCCCAGTCCAGTCTTGCTTCATCCCTCCGCAGCGTTGAACAGAGTTTGCCATTCCCTTTTTGGAACATTCTTTTCTTTAGGGTTCCAGAACTCCACATTCTCCTGATTTTCCTGTTAGCTCTCTGGCTTCTCCTTTGGCAGCCTGTTCTCCTCTGCCTGACCTCTAATGTTGGAGTTCCTCAGGACTTGGTCTTAGGCCATCTCGTCCTTTCCCTGAACCTCTTTATGACTTCATCTGCTCTAAAACGCCACTCATTCTCAAGGCTCGATTCCAACTCATATTATTCTGCTGAGCCCCAGACCTGCATAGACAGCCACCAAATATTCTTCTCTGCACTTCTCCTAGGCACTACAAACCTAACATGTCCCAACTTAAAACTTTTGATCTTCCTCCCCAAATGTGTCCCCTCTCAAATGTTCTGCTCTTAGCAAATGGCACTTCCAAGCCAGCAGTGCTAATTGTCATTTCATTGATCATCTACCATCTGTCTCCTCCATAGACTGTAACCTTGTGGTTGTATCCTCCAAGCCTAGGACGGTGCCTTATACATCACTGAGACTAAGCGAACGAACGTTTGCTGCGTGAGTTAAAACAAAGAAGCATATTAGCCAAAAGTGAGAGGAAAAGTGAAGCCAAAACTGAGAGGAAGCAATGTCAGATGCACTACAGAGATTAATAAAATTGGGTTCTGGTCCTAGGCTGCCAGTTTTCTAAGTGACTTTTGGAAAGTCACTTCGCCCATCTGTAGATTGACAGGAAATTGAAGTGAATTATCTATAAGGTCCCTTCCAAATTCTAATACCTAACTGACATCTATCATCTACGGCTAATATATCAACCCTAACTGACATCTATCATCTACTGCTAATATATCATTGAATTGGTGCGTGCACATAAAAGGGATTTGTGCATAACGAAGAATGTGACTTTGGTTTCTTTTCTTTTTTTTTTTAAGTTGGTTTTTTTTTTTTTTTTTTTGGACAGAGAGATCACAAGTAGGCAGAGAGGCAGGCAGAGAGAGGAAGGGAAGCAGGTTCCCCGCTGAGCAGAGAGGACGATACGATACGGGGCTCGGGGCTCGATCCCAGAACCCTGAGATCATGACCTGAGCTGAAGGCAGAGGCTTAACCCACTGAGCCACCCAGGCGCCCCTCTTATTTTCTTTAAAAGCAAAAAACAAAAAAGAAAAAACTGTGCTTTGAAAGCTTTTTGTAATGCCTTTAAGCTTTTGTAATGCCTGAGTTGAGACTACAAGAAGTTGTCTACTTTGGTACTTTCACTTTTAAATCGGATGAGGGCTCAGTGAAGGCTGGTCATTTGACTTGAACCTTCCAAAGCATTTTCACAATGTCACAATCTCCTAACAATCGAACGTGACTCGCAGGGCAGGCAGCAGTCAACACTCATTTTACAGATGTGGAAACTAAGGCCTATGCTTACATTCTCAATCCTTTACAGGGAGGGTCCACGAGAGCGTTCCTCAAGAGGCCAGGACTGACAATTACTGCACAATTAAGTCGCTAAAGCTGCCTTGGTTCCTATCTCAACTCTGCAGTCCTAGGAACCTGCTTCCACTACTATAAAATGGGGACAATGCTAGTCCTGAAATTCACAGCACTGTCGTGAGGATTAAATAAATATGGAACTCAGTACATATGAGGTATTGTTACAGGGTCACGCGCTCCAGTAGAGTTCTACAAAAGCCCACGCTGGGGGACTTCCCGGGCACGACACTTCTCACCGTTCCCAGGTTCAGGGGACCGCACCACTCCTCGGGGACTTTCAGAAGAGCAGCTCTCTACCTCAGCCGCCTCAGGGCCACGGGCCCAGTGCGGTGCGGGTCGGGATCTCACCCTCACTGTCCCAGCCCGTAGAGGGGCGTGGCCTCACCGGGGCAGGGGCGTGGCAACCAAGAACTGGGGCGTCAAGCTCCCCGGCCCAGTGTGGAGCCGCCCAGTCCGGGAGGGTGGGTCACGTGACCAGCGAGCGGTTTCCTCCCCACCCCCATGTCGGTACCACTTCCGTCAGTCCCGGGGGGGGGTGTCTTGCTCCTTTTCGGGAAGCAAAGCATTCGTTTTGGTCCTTTTTGCGTCGAACTAGTTTGGTGTAGTATCTTTGTTGTGACGGAATCAATCCTTGTCCCTTAAGGGGTCTTTTGCCTTCCGGCCTCCCCCCAACTAAGGAGTTGGTCTCGCCCAGCCGGGCCCTGGGCGCGGCGGAGACGGCCGCGTCACTGGCGGGCGGGATCCCTCCGCTCTGGGGAGAGCAGCGCTGGACGGTTGAGTTGGGGTGACTGAGGAAATCCATCCGCGTCGCCGCCGCTGCCGCCTCCGCCGCGGAGGAAGACAGGACCTCCCGCGCTCCTCGAGAGACCCTTCGCAGAATCCCACCGCCACAGGTACTTCCGCTGACAAAAGAAGTCCTCGTCTCCCCCAGCCCCAAATTCCCGTGGGGGAACCTCTCTTCCTTCTGTCGCCCCGGTCTAGCCTCTTGGGAGCGGACGTAGCACCCCAGACCTCCCCTCCCTTCCTCTGGCTCCGTCGCTCCCAAACCCGGAAGGGGAACTGGGGGGACCCTCAGCCCCAACAATGCGCGCGCTCCCCGCACCGTCAGGGGCATTTTGCCTCACCCCAGACCCCATCCCAGCTTCTCCTGCCTCTTGCTCCCTGAGAAGTTGGGGGGCCGAATTCCGGGCTTCCTCTAGGCCCTGTCCCGCCCCTTTCTCCCCCATCACCACCCTCCCGTTTGCCCCTGGGTAGCACCCCTCGTGTCCTCCCATTTTGCACCCATGCCGGCGTTCGCCTTGCAAAACTCCAGAATCCTCAGAGAGGCAGGCAAGGCCGCGAGGCCACCCTTCCCTTAGCCTCCACCCTCCCCTCGATCTGGGTTCTGTACGTGTTTTCTGGCCGTGTTACCCTAGACCGGAGACCTCGGCACCCTGTTCCCTCTACTAGCCCTAACCCCAAACCCAGCTCCCGGACGCCCTTATCCCACGTCTAGCTTTCTTTTGGGCAAAATGGAGGTCGTGGGGGCCGGAGGGCCAGGCCCACTGCGCTTCGCAGCTAGGCACCGGCCCGCGCCTTCCAGCTGCCAGATCCGGGACCCTCCCATGTCCCCTCCCCTTCGCCCAGCCAGACCTGCGGAGGCGGTGGCACCCCCATTTTTCCTTGGGGCCCCGGCTGCTGTATGCCCAGATTCCGGGGGCCGCCGAGGGGGCCTTGGAGGGTGATAGGGACGAGGGCTGGAAGCGTCGCCCCCGCCCCCGGCGGCCTCCTCCCGGCCTGTTTCCTTCTGCCCCTGGCCTCTGGCGTTGCCGCTCGGTCTGGGCTGCTGGCAGCTGGAAGGAAGGGGCTTTGTCCGGAACTGAGGACGCGGAATGGGAGACTTTGCCCCCCACCGCAACAGGCTCCCCGCTTTTTTGGAGGGGCATCCCCCGGCGCTAGTGTAGAAAGCTGAACTGGCAGAGGGGAAATGTCAGTGGGGAAGAGGAACGCCCAGGGCCTGGGGGAAGTGGGAGCTGGGTGGGGGACGTCTGGGTCGACAGAGTGCGCCGTGCACTGCCAGATCACACAGGTGTCCGGAGAAGGGGGCAGGACTGCGGGCCCTGGAGCGGAGCCGGCCGGGCCCCTGGGGCCTCGACGCGGAGCCCGGAGGCTGGGCTCCTGGGGTGCCGAGGGCGCAGGGCCGGGCCGCTTGGGGCCGCCAGCCCGCCCGGCGGCTCGCGTCTGGGAGAGAGCAGCTCTGCGCCTCGGGGCTGGGGACCTCTCCTCGGAGCACTAATTACTCGAGAGCCGCTCCCACGGGCTTTCTGCGGGCGCGCTGGGACGGGCGGCCTCGGAGCTGGAGGGAGCAGCGGCTTGGGGCTGCCTTCCCCGCCACCCTTCCCTCCGCCCGCCAGGGGCGGCTAATGGGGCGCAGCCGGCCCAGGGATTATCCGGGGTGAGCCGTCCCGAACCTATTAGTGCCAATCGGCTTTCCCAAATCCTGTAAACAGCCACCCTGGCTGGTTCTGGGCTGGGGCGGGAGGCTGGGTCGGGCGGGGGCGATGGGGCCGGGGGTGGGGTCACCCACCCGACAGGTCTCTGCCGTGGATGCGGTTGCCTTGGCAACAGGGCTAGGGTGGGGGCACTTCACCAATGAGGTGCTCTCAGTCCGGGTGACGGTTGCCTAGGCAACTCCACGAACAGCCCAGCTTCCCCCTCTGGTCTCTCCCCCACCCCAGTCGAAGCTGGGGGTGTGTGTGGAGGGTGTGCGGCGTGTGGGGGTGAATTTAAAGAGGCACCGCCCCTTTTAAAATTAGGTGCTAGGAGGGCGGTGCCTGTGCGGGCCCGGGCGGACTCCAGGTCTGTTTTCCAAGGGACTCTCCCCGCCCCCTCCCCTGCCCCCCTTCGTCCCCCCTTCAGTTCCTGCCGCGGGTGTCCCGCCCGGGCTGCTGTCCGAGGGAGGGGTTTCCCCTGCGCTTCCTCTTGCACTTCCCGCTCCGTTTCCGGGGGGCGGGAGGAAGATTGGGGAAGTCACCTCTTCCTGGGCAACATCTCTCCTGTGCCAAAGACCCAGATTCTGCTCGCGAACCGCGGCCGCCGCTGCTGTCCCCTCCCCCCCCACCCCACCGGCACTTACCCCTTCCGGGCCGCTCTTCAACCCCGCCTTTTCCCCCTTCCCCGGCGGCCTTGGGCCTGACGTCAGCCCTGCATCCCCCAGGCCTCGGGCCAGCGGCGAGGAGCTGTCTCCCCCAGCCCCCGTCCCGCGGCCCCCAGCCGCCCCCAACCCCGCCCCACGGGCCCGGCGCCATGAGTGAGCTGGAGCAACTGAGACAGGAGGCTGAGCAGCTCCGGAACCAGATCCGGGTGAGGGCCTGACCGCGGGGCTGGGGAGGCTGAGCCGCCAGGGCCAGGTGGCCTAAATGGACTGGGGTGGTGGTGGGGGGGGGGTTCTTGTGTGTGCGGCTACCCTAGTCTCTGTCTCCTCTTCTCCACTCTCACCCCTTCCCCTGCCTCCTCCCCCCCCTCTTCTGCCTCTGATGAGCTCTGCCATCTCTTATAGGATGCCCGAAAAGCATGTGGGGATTCAACACTGACCCAGGTGAGATGAATCCAGGGCTGAACCTGGGGTTTAGGGAAGGAGCGAGGGTCGGAGGCGCACTGCTTGGTGAGCCATGCCGCCTGAACCCCTCTGAGCACCTTCTGCCTCTACCTCCAGATCACAGCTGGGCTGGACCCAGTGGGAAGAATCCAGATGAGAACACGGAGGACCCTCCGTGGGCACCTGGCAAAAATCTATGCCATGCACTGGGGGACAGACTCAAGGTGTGTATGTGGGGGGGGGTGGTTGGGGCTGTGTGCTGAGGGGTGTGTGTGTGTGTGTGTGTGTGTGTGTGGTTGGGGCCGTGTGCTGAGGGGTGTGTTTGCCCTGGGCTGAGTTTGTAGCAGGCCGACTGGGGCAGGGGTTGCAACCTGGCGGATCTGGCGGGATGACCGGGATGCCTGTGTGTTGCTGAGCGAGTTTGGGAAGACAGTGTCTCCCAGACAGCCCCAGGGGGTGGGAAGCAGGAGCGCACTGGCAGGAACTTTCTGGCTGCTGCCGGGGTCAGCAGGTCTGCTGCTGCAGAGGGCCTCGGTGTCCTGTCTCTAGAGGGAGCTTCCCACCCTGACCCCTCTGCCTCTCCCCTGCCACTTTTCAATAGGCTGCTGGTCAGCGCCTCCCAGGACGGGAAGCTCATCATTTGGGACAGCTATACCACCAACAAGGTAGAGGCGGGGCCTGAGGCCAGATGTGGGGGGGCCGCAGGCCCTGGCTGGCTCCGACCCTGGGCACTGCCCCTTCTCTCCAGGTCCATGCCATCCCTCTGCGCTCCTCCTGGGTCATGACCTGTGCCTATGCGCCCTCAGGGAACTTTGTGGCCTGCGGAGGGCTAGACAACATCTGCTCCATCTACAGCCTCAAGACCCGCGAGGGCAATGTCCGGGTCAGCCGGGAGCTACCTGGCCATACCGGTGAGAGGGACCTGGCGGGGCTCGGGGGCACTGTTGCAGGGGGAGGGGCTGTGCTGCCGGCCCCAAGAGCCTCGGCTGACCAGTCCCTTTCCCCAGGGTACCTGTCGTGCTGCCGCTTCCTGGATGACAACCAAATTATCACCAGCTCCGGGGACACCACCTGGTGAGGCCCTGCCAGGGCTAGGTAGTCGGGACTCTCCAATACTTCCCGCCTGGAGTGCCCCTGCCTTGGTGTTTAGTATGGAGTGTGTGCCCGGAGCGAGCAGGGGAGTCTTCTGAACCCTTGGCCTCCGTGTCCTGTGACCCGGTGGCTCCGTGTGCCCCTGCTCGGACGTTCTCTCAGGGCTGGGCTCGCATGGTTGGGGTGGCGGGGGGTTGCCCGTATCCCTCTCTGATCCCTTCCTTCTTTCTGTCATGTCTCCAGTGCCCTGTGGGACATTGAGACAGGCCAGCAGACAGTGGGTTTTGCTGGGCACAGTGGAGATGTGATGTCCCTGTCACTGGCCCCCGATGGCCGCACCTTTGTGTCTGGTGCCTGTGACGCCTCTATCAAGCTGTGGGATGTGCGGGATTCCATGTGCCGACAGACCTTCATCGGCCACGAGTCGGACATCAATGCCGTGGCGGTAAGTTCCGGGTGGAGCCGGGCTGGCCCGTCTGCCAGGCTCCCAGCTCTGCTGTGTCCTTATCCCACTTCGGTCCCTTGCCCTGCAGTTCTTCCCCAACGGCTACGCCTTCACCACCGGCTCCGACGATGCCACCTGCCGCCTCTTCGACCTGCGGGCTGACCAGGAGCTGCTCATGTACTCCCACGACAACATCATCTGTGGCATTACCTCTGTTGCCTTCTCCCGCAGCGGCCGGCTGCTGCTCGCCGGCTACGACGACTTCAACTGCAACATCTGGGACGCCATGAAGGGCGACCGTGCAGGTGCGTGCTGGGTACCAGGGGGTGGGGTGGGTGTTGAGCCCAGGGAGCCTGGGTTCTGACGGTCCTCCCTCACAGGTGTCCTCGCCGGCCACGACAACCGTGTGAGCTGCCTCGGGGTCACTGATGATGGCATGGCTGTGGCCACAGGCTCCTGGGACTCCTTCCTCAAGATCTGGAACTAACAGCTACCGCCCCACTGGGCCCAGGCCAAGAGGGGCCCTGCCCATGCCCACACTACAGGCCGGGAGCTTTGGGGCTGGGTACACACCAAGCCTCCCTCCTCGGGCCACGGGGCCTTGGGTCCCTGCTCCCCTACCCAGGTTTGGTTCCTCCCGGGGGCCCCCACTGTGGAGATAAAGATGGGGATAGAATGGGGGAAGAGGAGGGGCAGAAAGCCCTCATCCTTTTGCTGCCCTGGGGTTGGGGTCTCGTCCCTCTGGAGGGCCAGAGGCAGGAGGTAGAAACTCCAGGGGCTGGCTTTTTTAAAACTGGTTTTATTTTAATTTTTATTATATTTTCAGTTTTTCCATAAAGGAACCAATTCCAACTCTGTACCTGGTCTCTACCCTTGTGTCTTTCTCATTCCAGGTCTCTGCTCCCAGGGCAGACCAGTGTATGGGTCACGGGTGCGGTGGTGGGGTGGATACGGGTCCTTATAAATCGGAACCAGAGAGAAATTCCCACAGGTTTTCAGCTAAAGTCAGGCAGGAGGATCTACCCAACAGGGCCACGCATGCTCCCAAAGACACAGCCCTGAGTCCGGCTGGCTGAGCAGTTGTCCCCCGCCACCGCTCTTTCAGTTCCCAGCACTTAGCCTTGTCTCGTTCCCCAAAGACACTCTTCCCCAAGAAAAGACACACGGCAGAAGGGGAGAACACACACCAAGTTTTATTGGGGGAAGGGGAATATTTACAGGGGCAGGTAGAAGAGAGGGGAGTCACACAGGGTGGGGGTAGGGGTCCAAGAGGTTTTGGGTCCAAGGCAGACAAGGGGATACAGAACAGCCCCTGCACCCACCCCAACCCAGGGAGGGTGGGAGAGCAGCTGGGGCCCAGGGAGACGGGTGGGAAAGGACAACAATGGGGTTGGAGCCCCTGGGCTGGGGGGCTCAGGGGCTTGTAAACATTGACCACTCTCAGAAGGGGATGGGGGTGGGAGAGGGCTCCCCCTACACTTCCTCACAGGGTTAAGGCCTCTCCAGGCTCAAGGGCCCCCTAAGTTCAAAGTCTCTTTAGCTGGGGGAAAGGGGAAGGGAGAGACAGGGAAGAGTGTCGCCCCCCTCCCCTGCGTTGGCTGCGGCAGGGGTGGGGGCGGTTACATTCAGTCACGACAGCAACCCCCCAGACTCCTCTAGCCGCCAAATACTGGCATGAGGAAGGGGGGAGCGGGGGGCCAGCAGCAGCAAGACATTTCCCCCTGGCCCATCACCCCCTTATTGCTTTAGAGAGAAAATTGTCTTTTCACGGACGCTAACACTGTTGAAACCAGGGAGAAGCGGGCGGAGGGTGCCCCTCCACCCCCAAGGCCAGCTTTATCCCCCAACACTGACCCAGTTGCCACTTTGGTGCAAAACAAAACAAAAACAAAAACAAAACAAAAAAAAATGTGGTCTCTCTGGGGGTGGATGGGGAAAGAAAACAGGCCACTCCCCATTTCCCCAGGGCAGGAAGGATAAATACATTCATGGAGGGGAGGCAGTGGCAGACTCCTGCCCTAATACTGCGCTCTGAGCAATGAGGTCGATGGGAGAAGTTAAATGAAAAACCCAAAAGAGAAACGGTTTAAAAAAAAAAGAAAAGAAAAAAAAATCCACAAACGGAGACAAACCTAGGTAGGTGACTGGGAATAAAAGTCGGTGAACGACAGAAGGGCAGCCTACCCCTGACCCGGGAGAGACGACACTTCCATTCTGGACCCCTGCACCTTACCCAACATGAAAAACGCATCGGGGGAGCGGGAAGGGGAGAGGCCGCTTGCTCCTCTCCCATTTGGTCAATGGAGGGGTCAGAGCAGAGCTGGGCGGTCCGCAGCCCACGTAGCTGGCTGCAGGCAGGGAACCCCCTCCGAACAGCCCCCGCGCCGCAACCTGCAGCCCCGCACTGCCCACTCCCTCGGCCTCCTAGGCCCTCCTCGGCCCCTTTCACAGGAGCGAACAGTCCCGAAGTGGTGCCTCTCTCTCCAGCTCCTGGAGGCACTGCTCCACTCCCACCTCGCGCAGGGTAGAGGCAGAAGGCGCAGTGGGGGCTTGTGGCCCGAAGAATACATTCATGTGGCAAGGCAGGGAGCTGAGGCTTTCAGCTTCATGCCCAGGCCGTCCCCCCCCAAAATGGCAGCAGTGGGGGAAGCCCCTCACCAGGGCCAGAGCGGAAACTCCACCACCCCGACAGCCAGATGAGGTTGGCACTGGCTGGCCCTTTCCCCTCTACCTCATCAGCCAGCACAGGACGGCAGCCCGGAGAGCGGAGGCGGCCCGGCCCATTTGTGCAACTCTCCCCCCAAAGCAGCAAAGCCGAGGGGCTACTTTGGCCCCGACCCCGGACGCCTCTGCCACAGTCACAGCAACAAAGGGAGCCGTTCACAGCGGGTCCGGCTGGCGGGGCTGAGGGGGCCTCGCTGTGCAAACTGCTGGCACCCCAGCTTCCAGTTACCCCAATGGCCCACTGTGCGGGGCAGGGAGGGTAAGTGCAGCCTTGGGGGCCAGGCAGGACAGGTCCGTGGGGCCCATGTCCCCACTGCCCCAAAATAACAGTGTGTTTTTTTCTTTCAATCTCCTAACCTTTTTTTTTTTTTTCCATTTTCTTTTTCTTAAAAAAAAAAAAAACAAAAACAAAGAACAAAAAATCCCAAAAAACCTCTGTGGACCTTCCATTGTCACCCTCACTGTCCCTAAAGGGGGAAGGGGTGCTTAGAGTCTAGTTTTGAACAATTTTTTTTTTTCTTGTCTCTCCTAACGCTTTCTTCGGGGTTGTTTAAAATGTTTTTTTTTTTCCCAAGAGAAAACAAAAACAAAACCAAAAAACAAAAACAAAAAACCAAAAAACAAAAACCCTTCCCCCCCATTCTGTAAAGTGCCTCGTGGTGGGTGAGTTAAGGTGCATCGTGTGGTTTGTAACAAGTGCTGGGGACCCTGCCCCTGCTTCCTCCTACGCTCCCTGTGGGGAGCCTGCAGGCTGGGGACCCAAGGGTCCAAGCCGCTGCTGCCGCCCCCGGCCTACAGCCCAGGGGCTGGTGGGACGGGCTGGTCAGTAGTCATCCACGCTCTCGATCTCACCAGAAGGTCCGTGCAGGGAGTACCCTGAAGCCGGGGAGAAGCTGGGTTTGAGCTCTCCCCAGGCTCCTGGCCCCTGCGGAGTAAGAAGCCTCCTTCGTGGCCACACCCCCGAACTCACCCAAGATGCTAGGATCTGAGTGCAGCATCAGCGCCCGCCTCTTGGCCTTGCTGCCCTCCCCAGGGCCGAGTTTGGTGCTGTGGTTGGTCTGAAAGGCTGTCTGTAGGGAGCCACTGCTCAGCCACGCCTCCTGTGAGGGAGGCTGGGTCAGCAGGGAGCGGAGCGGAAGGCCCCCGCCCCCGCCCCCCCCAAACCCGCCAGGGGCTGGCGGAGGCTCACCTGCTGCCGCTGCCGCTGCTGGCCGGCTTTCTGCTTGGCCCTCCGCTCTAGGAACTGTTTGGCAAATTCTTTGGCTTCCAGCGTGTCCCCCAAGCAGGAACGGATATAATCGTGGACGTCGTAGGGGGATTCCACCTCCTTGAGGATCGCTACAGCCATGGGCACTGACGGGCAGGAGGGGGGCTGTCAGGGCCCACCCGACGAAGGCCCGGAAGCCCCGGCCCCGCCCGGCCCCCAGGGCTGTGGCCTGTACCGTCCAGGCTGCCCGTGGTGCTCAGTGTGTGCAGCATCTGCTCGCACCACTGGGTGAAGCCGTCCTGGGGCCTGGGGATGCCCTGCAGCAGCTTCAGCAGCTTCTCTTCCTCCTCCGTCTTCTTGCGCACGGGCCGACCCGACAGGTGGCTGTACGAGTCACTGTGCGGGCCGGGGAGGAACGAGAGCCAGGCAATGAGCGGGCACCTGCCCCGTCCTTCCAACGCCGGCCCGAGGCCGGACGGGGCGTGCAGGTCCCGGCACCCACCTGAGAGAGGGGCTGCTCCGGCTGTTCTTCAGGCCCAGGCTGCGGGCCAGGCTCCCGCCGCTCTTGAGGGTGTCCTCCCAGAGCCCCGGGCTGCCGCTGCCGCCCCCGCTCTTGTCGGGCCCGCCCCACAGTGGCCCGGCCTCAGACACCCACTGGTTGAGGGGGGCCGAGCCCAGGCCCCCAAGCTGCTACAGATGGCAAGAATCAGAGCGGCCCCGACCCGGACACACACACTAGAACAACTAAGCGGGGAGGCTCACGAAGGTGGCCCAGTGGGGCGAGGGGAGGGCCTCCCGGAAGACAAACGCTTCCGGACAGATACGGACCAGGGCTCAGGTTCTAAAGTCGGGGCTAAGCGACTCCCCCCACCCCGGGTCACCCTGGGAGCTGACTGCAAGGGGTTCCCCACGGCTCCCAAACCGCTGCTCAGCGGGGGGGAAGGGCCGGCCTGCTCACCACGCGGTGGTTGGGGGCCTGGGCCCGCGACGGCTCCCGGGGCGCGGGCTGCTTGTGCAGCTGCCGCTCGCCCTCCAACTGCAGCTCGAGCAGCGTCTTCATGGACAGCCCCTGCTTGGCCAGACCGGCCCACAGCGGGGGCGGAGAGCTGGGCGCCGGCGGCACCGGGACAGCGGCCACCGCCTGCTGCTGCTGGAGCAGCTTTAGCAGGAGCTCCTGCTGCCGCACCTGGACCAGAGCAGCGCGGTGAGGGCCGGCGGCCTGGCCCCAGGCCCGGGTGGGCGAAGACTGGCGCGGCCGGGCACACACCTGCTTGCGGCGAAACAGCTCCTCCTCCTCCTGCCGCCGCTTCTGCTCCTCCTGCTGCTGCTGCCGCCGCTTCTCCTCCCGCCGCTTGCGCTCCTCCTCCTCCCGCTTCGCCCTGAGCTCGACTTCTCTGCGCTCTTGGAACTGGCACAGCCAACGAGCTCAGACGGCAGACCCAGGCTCCCACCCGGCCGTCCCTGCCCCGGCCCGACCCCAGCCACCCGAGGACCGCAGCCCCAGGAAGCCCACTCACTTTGTGTTGCAGCTGGAGTTGTTCTAGAATTGGACCCTGAGTCGAAGAGTTAATTGGTATGTCCCAAAGACTGGCCTCACCGCCTGCAGGAGGCAAGGGCGGCAGCGGGAGGCGGCTCAGGCTTGGCTGGGCTGGAGTGGCCGGAGGGCAGGAGCAGACATGAAGTCTGTCACCTCCTCCCCCTGCCCCGCTCACCCAGGGACTTGGGGCAGGAACAAGCGGGCCACACACCTGACTGTGATGAGGCTGAGGTATGTATGTCCCAGAGGGGGCCCGAATCCGGCACCGACAAGGACCGGTTCATGGTCGGGAGCAGGTTCTGGTCCCCGCCTCTGAGGAGAAAAGCCGCAATTCTCAGAACTCCGAGCTCCTCTTGGGGCTGCCCCGCTCCCCACGACAAGACCCCGGCCCACGAACCTGGGCGGTTTGAGAGCTTGGAGCTGCTGCAGGAACGCCGCGAGCTGCTGCTGCTGCGGTGGGCTCAGGTCCCCCAGAGCCGCCTTCTCCCGGAGCGCGCACTGCGGGAGCTGCCGGCTGCCAACACGGGGATGGGCGTCAGGGGCGGAGGCCACCCGGCCCGCTCCTGGCCCGTACTCGGCCTGGTCCGGCCCGACCCAGCCGCCAAGGCCTCCTGGGTGCCCCGTACCTGCCGACCAGTTGCAGAAACTGCTGGTGCTGCAGCTGCTGGTACAAGGCCGCCGCGGCCATCTCCTGCTGCTTCTTTAGCCGCTCCTGGTCCATGTTGCCCTGGGTGAGGGCCAGAGCGCTCCTGTGGCTCTGACCTCCTCTCACTCTGCACCCCTGCTGCCATCTGTCCGGCCCCAGCCCCGCTCCTGCTTCTCCTCCCCACTCCTTGCCAAGGGGGCCGTGCTTACCAGCAGTGGGGGTGGCGAGGGTCCTGGGGCAAAGGGCACACGACCCCACATCTTGATCACCTCCCCCAGGGGCTGGAAGCCCTCATCGCAGCCCCGCTTCACAAGCAGCGCCATGGAAAAATAGCCCGCCTGGAACCACTCTGCCATCTCCTGGGTCGTGAAGGGGCCTGGACCGAGGGAAGGACGACATCAGTCAGAAAGCTGTGCCAAAGACGCCCTGAAAGAGAATGTCAGTGTCCCCTGCCCCCAGCAGCCCCTCCTGCATGGCTCCTACTCCCCACAGGCACCTTGGATCTCCCCCTGGGGGTCCTTGTAGAACCACTTCCGGGCCGCGCCATGGCTGAGCGGGAGGGCAGTGGCAGCTGCTGAGTGGCGCAGGCCCTGGGCCTGCATGGCGGCCGTGAACTGCTCCTCCTCCAGGGAGCTGTCCTGCAGGGAGGCCACCAGCTTCTCCGCCTCCTGGGAGACGGAGGAGAGAGGAAAGGCTCAAAAGCGCAATCGTGGCAGCATCGGGATGTGGCTGCAGCCAAGATCGGGTGGAGTCGGGAGGTCAGGTGACAATTCGGAAGATCAGATGAGGAAAGCATGGGACAGGGCAGGGACAGAGGCTACGATGGCTCTCCATCCCCCATGCAGCAGGATCCCCAGAGCCTTCTGAGCCGTCCCCTCACACCTGCTGCAGGTGTTTCAGGCCTTCATCATCCTCCAGATCTCCAGGTGGGCCAGGCGGTGAGCCTACCCCAGGACTCAGCGGCAGTCCCCTCACATCATCTAGAAGCGAAGAAAGTGGAATGGGGGGGTGGGGTCCAGAGAAGAGAATGAGAGGCTTCCCTATGCACCCTCACTCCAGAAAAGTGGACTCCAGTTCTACCCCTTCCTCCCAAAATGCCTCAGGTACCTCCGTCCTACCACAAGGAAGAGGAGTGTCCCCCCCATCCCCCCTCCGCTACCTTCAGCTGCCGGGAGGTCCTTGTCGGCGGCGTCATCCCCTTCCCCATTAGCTGCCCAGAGTGGGCCCAAGGTGGGCAGTGGGGAGGGGGAACTGGACTTCTCCTCCTGGGGAGGTAGCGGGGTCAGCTCCTTCCCTCCTGAAAGAGACAGGTAATTACCGGAATTCGAAACCAAAGAGCCGGAAGGCCTTAAAAATGAGTTGACACAAATTCCCCCATTTGCGGCCCAAACCTCGGTCTCCGGGCCTTGAATCCACCCACCTAACTTTGCTCAACTCCGCTAACACCCAGCAAATCAGCACCACAAACTCTGCCTCGCGACACCGCACACACCGTGCACGTGTCCACGTCACGGCCCAGAGCTGTACACGCCCCGGCCCGGACCTACTGAAGCCGTGTTCTTCTGATTCTCCTAAGGATTTGCACGGATCATCTTGATGTCGCCCGACGGTGAACTGCCTGTCTGCCTTTCAGGCACGGGACTGCTCCATTCCTCCCCCACCCCGGTGACACCTGCTCTCCGCCCAAGCCACCGTGGTGGCAGAGCCTGGGGAGGGGCCCCTCTGCCCGCCTGGCCTGGCTCAAGGCGCTCTCCCTCTTCCCCAGCCCACCCCGCAGGCTCACCTGCCTCTGGCCCCCCCTCGTCTAGCCCTTCGGGAGGCTCTTCCTCCTCTTCCTCTAGGCCCTGGAAGTCCAGCTCCTGCTCCTCAGGAATGGGCTCTTTAGGGCCCTTCTGCATGGGGTTAGGGACACGGTGGGGGAGCAAGAGGCAGAGGATGAACAGGTGGGAGTGAGAGGCCCCCCCCGGGGTAGGCCGCACCACCCTCCAGTGGAGCCCTTCCCTGCACTTCCTCCAGTACCTTGAGAGGCAGGAAGGCCCCAGAGGCATCGAAGGTGCCCATCTCTTCGTCCTCGTCATCCAGGCACCACTCCGGGAGCCCATCCTTGTCTTCCTCGAAGCCATCAGGCCCTCGGCACCTCCGCAGGTGAGAGCTACCTCCCCCACCCCGCCCTTCCTCTTCACCACACCCTCCTCGGTCCCCTCGCAAATCAAACTCAAACTTGCGACGCCGGTCCCCGTGTTCCCGCCAGCCAGCAGAGCGGGGGCCGCCATCTGGGCGGGAAAACATAGAGAAGGAAGGTCAGTATCCAGGTCAAGCCGGCCACCAGGACCTCCCCTCCACCCTGGGAACAAGCGCATCTCCAGGCCTGCTCTCCCACCCACTCCACTCTGGAAAGCTTTCTGTCCCCTCCACCCGGCCACGGGAGCCCACCCTCCCAAGAAGTCTGTCACCCTCTGACCCCACGACACACATCCGGCCCCAACCTCACCGGGGCTGGCTGAGCGCCAGCGGTCGCCATCTCGCCGGGGTCCTGCCCCGAGTCTCCAACTGCCCTCCTCCTCTTCCTCTTGCTCCTCTCGAAGAGAACGCCAGTTCTCGCTATCCGAGCGGGCATGTTCCTTCCTCGGGCCAGCCCCTCCCTCCTCAAACCCGGATCGTGCTTGGGGTGAGGGAAGACAGAGTCAGTGGAGCGGCAGCCATGGTCCCTGGAGGAAGCCCGCTCCAGGCCCTCCTGTCCCCTCCGCCTCCCGCAGGAAAACACCCCCTACTGACACCACCCACTTAAGTCCTCCCCCTCCCCACCTCTCAACGACCTTTAGGACCAGGCCATCGCCACTCTCCGTACCTCCATCCCTCCTGGCCGACTTCTCAAACCTTCTCTCGCCTCTGCAGAAGGAAGGTGTTGGTCAGGAGAGGAGACTCCACCCCGCCCTCCCACGTGTGGCACCTCTGAACCCTCTGTCCATTCTGCCCTGAGAGGGGTGGGAAGAGGGAGGGCGTCGGGGGGGGGAGGGTCCTAGAGAAATGTTAGGCTTGGCAGGGAGCGCAGGAGGGCACGCAGGAAAAGGTCACAGGATAAACAGGTACTAAGAGAATCAGAAGCAAGACGAAAGGGCCGCAGGGAGCCAGTCCGAGGCAAAGAGGAAACTCTGTGACCAGGGCTTATTCGGAGGATCTCCTACTGCCCTCTAACAACAGAAAACCAAGCCACAGGGCTTCAGTGGGCTCTGCCACTATGCCACCAGCACCTGTCATCCCAACTCTGGCTACGCTGGATCTCCCGGGGGTTTCGGCCAAAGGCTCCATCGCCTTCTTCAATGCTTCTTTGGTAAAAGCAACTGTCACCACGGCCCCGGCCTGGAGAAAAGACGAGATACACGTGGGAAATCTGCCAGACTACCTCTCTGCACTGCCACAACCACAGGCAGCACCCCCCGGCCCACCCCCAGAACACACCGTCACCCCCTCTACCTCGGCTCCGAGTGCTGCCCCTGCCACGGGAGGTGCCACCTAGGGGGGGGCCAGCCCCTTTCCCCATCAGCCTCAGCACAGCCACACTGTTCACTGACAGGGAGAAGTTTCTCTGAGGAGGGAGCCAGGGGTGGGAGTGAGGACCCAGACACCCACCCCCCTCACCCCTGCCCAGAACAAGCCCCACCACCTACCTCCCCAGCTTCGGCCCCTCTGCAGGGGCAGACCCAGCGCCCTGCCCCGCCCCGGCCCCGCCCCACCTGCTCCTCCTCGGTCAGTGGCTCCAGCGCCAGCGGCTGCAGCGGCTCCTCCTGTAGCACCGCAGCAAACTCCCTGTCCTGCAGCTCATCGGGCACCTGGCAGTCGGGGCAGGAGAGCTGGGATCCCACCTGCTCCCAGGCCCTCTCCCCCGGCTCAGACCAAACAGGCAACTGGGCCACACGCCCCACACCCGTCTCCCCGAACCTTGTTCTCCTTGATGTAGAGCGCCAGCATCTCCTCTCGCCCGTAGCGGTAGTCAGCCAGCTTGTACTTGGGCATGGCGGGGGAGGGGGGCGGGGAAGCCACGCTGCCACCACTGGAAAGGGCTCTCAACCTAGGAAAGGAACACAGGGAAGGAAAGAGACAGGAGTCTGAGCAACCCTATTTTTTCTGGCTTCTCCAGGCCACCCAGAGAGTGTCGAACTCACCACTCAGGCCCAAAATTGAGGGTCTCTGCTGCCATTATGGAGGTGGGCGTGTCCTCGAGGTCAGAGGGGCTGAAGGGAGAAGCGGGGACCTGGTGCGTTCACTCTCCAAACACCTGCGGAGGCGCAGGGACGCTAGGCCTGAGAGACCGCACACGCAGAGCACCACGACAGAACTCACTAGACTCCCACACGGACTCTGAAAGGACTCACCTAAGCCAGCCACGTGCCACACACCATGAGTTAAGCGAACTGTCACGAGGAGGGAAGACCTGGCAGAGAGGAGGGGCGAGGGCAGCAGGAGCCCCTTCCGGCTTCGGCAGCCTTCAGAGGTTGTCTCCCTCCGCCCCAGACTCACTTGGCAGCCTTGCCCCCAGGAAGCAGGTCGGGCCGGGACTGGGCTCTCTTCAGGCAGGGGCCAATGCTGGAATGAACCAAGGTCCCCAAGCTACAGGATGATGATCTGACTGCAGTAACACCCGAGGAGGGAGCTTCACATCCGGGAAAGATCCTTACCGAGAGGTGAGGAAACAGAGCTGGGGTTAAACCAATGGGCCAGATGGGCCCCCCCACTTCTGGCCCTCCTCAGTCCTGCTTAATAGGGAGATCTACAGATGGTGGAAGCTTCAAGCTATCCAGCGCAGAGGACTACAGCCCCAGCTCCTCCTCTGTCCCCCACATTAGGCCTCAAGAGTGGTCAACTCCCTCAGCAGAGCTGAGCGAGACACCGGTCTCAGCACCCTCCCAGCGCGGCGTGGCATTGGGGAAAGGGCTGGCGGAGGCATGCAGGCAAGCTCAACACAAAAACAAAACACAAACAAGCCAGCAAACCAAAAACCCATCAGAGCCCAGGTAGTCGAAAGACAAAAAACATCAGTTATGAAAAAAAAAAATTACAAATCAAGTCTGGGAGCAAACCTATTTCCCTCCTGAAAGAACTCAGGGCTGCTTGTTTGGTGGCTAGAATCCAGGATTCAATGTCGGGGGGAAAGCCAGAAGAAGGGGAGTGATGGCGGGGAGGCCCTATTCCAAAGCCAAAGACAGGGCACATGGAAGGCAGAGGGCAGGTAAGTCCGGCCAGTGACCACCTCGGGCTGGTTTACCCAACAGGAATCAACACCCAGACACTTTCCATGGATCAGGAAGAGCCCATCATAACTACTAAGAACCAAGAGGGGAAGGTTCTTTTTTTTTTTTTTTTTTCCTAAATATTTTATTTATTTGACAGAGAGAAAGATCGTAAGTAGGCAGAGAGACAGGCACAGAGAGAGAGGGAGGAGGAAGCTTCCCGTTGAATAGAGAGCCAGATGCGGGGCTCAATCCCAGGACCCTGAGATCATGACCTGGGCCGAAGGCAGAGGCTTAACCCACTGAGCCACCCAGGCGCCCCCAAGAAGGGAAGATCCTTATGCTATAAACTAGGAAGGAGCTCCCCTTACCATAAAGTAGAAATGAGGTCGACAGAAGCAGTGGCAGTGGCAGTGACCGGTCCCTCTAAGGAACGGCTCTCAGGAGGCGGCTCATCCCTGGCGGTTCCAAGCGAGGACAGGAGGGCAAGGTCTCAGGGAGCTGCACGGAGGCTTCCCTCACTGACTGGTGGGGAGGCTGGACCCCAGAGCCTCCACAGTTTCCATCAAGTCCACGACTCCACACAACTCTGGCAAGAAAGGAGGGGCGGATTCTCATCACTCTCACTTACAGCTGCACACGGGAAGATGAAGGAAAATGCCCTGACAGAGGCAGGACCCGGTCGCAGAATCCCAGCAGGAAATGCAGCTCTGGAGAGCATCTGGAACGGGGGGACATCCTCGGGCGCGGGCTTTGCTTCAAAGCAGTCCCAAGTGGCCACTGCTGGTGACGGAGCACCCCATGGCACACGTGGCCGTCAGGAGACTCATCTGTTCCAAAGCTCTCCCTTTCACTGGACTGAGGCAGGCCTCCCAGGACGACAGAGCGGGGTTCCTTCTTCCCATGCTAACACCCCTACTTTATTTGACCCATGAATCAACCCTGAAGACATTATGCCACAGGAAACCACGCAGTCACAAAAGAAAAATACCACAGGATTCCTCTCATGTGCGAATCCTGAAGAATCCAGTTTAGAAACGAAGAGGAGGAGGACCGGGGCTGGGGGGTGAGGAGAGCGGGGAGCTCTTCAGGGAAAGGGGTACTGAGTTTCGGCCTGAAGGGGGCAAATGAAGCCGCTCCAGAGCCGGACCGTGGTGACAGCTGCACAACGCAAACATACTTAACCGCACAGAGCCGGACACTCAAAAACTCGGCTGAAAATTCAATTAAATGGTATATTTAACCACCATTTTAAAAAAGGTTTAGGAGAAAAAAAAGACATTTGCGAATAGCTATTGCATACCTAAGTCTTCCTCACCCGAAGGAAAACACCCCATATCCCTTCAAGCAAACCTCAGGAAAGACTGTTCTGAGCTTCCTGCAGCTCATTCCAGAAGAGCCACATCTTCTTCAAGGCGAAGATGGGGGACAGAAGAGCGCTGTGGGTGTGGAAGGCTGCTCCGGGGACATGGGACAACTCACCCTCCCTCCCTTGCAGGGAGTGGCAAAGGCGGCCCTCCTGGATGCTTCCGCTTCTGGCCTTCGCCTTTCTGTCCCAGCTGTAAGGAGCAGACCGAGGAGGAGTGGCTCCCCGTGTGAGAAGCAGGGCAACTGTGGAAGCAAGGAAAAGGCGGTCAGGGCAGAGGAAGCAGAGGGGCAGCTGGAGAAAAAAGTCGCGTCTCCAGGTAAGCCCAGCCACCAAGTCCTGGCAGCTGGTGGCCGCCGGCTGCTCCCCAAACCGCAGAAAGCGTGGCCAAGCAGCTCCCGAGCCGCCCCATGGTGCCCAGCCCTGCAGACCCGAGGGAGTCTTCTCCAGGTTTCCTCCAAGCCAGTGGTTCTCAATGGGGGAGGGGGCTGTGCTCCCCAGAGGACACATGGCAGTATCTGCAGGTAGCTTTCGTGGGCATGGCTGGAAGGTGCTACTGGCGTCTAACGGGCGAAGGGCGGGCATGCTGCTATGCTGGCCAGAACACACAGGGAGGCAGCTGGCCCAACACAGCAACACTGCCAAGGTGGAGGGCCCTTCCTCCGTATCACCAGCGCAGGTAAAGCCTATTTGCTGTTTGGGAAGAACGAAGACGAGAGAGCAACTGATTCGAGTTCGGTCTCCCTGCTGAAGACCAAGCAAGGAAATCGTTTCCTAATTACGCTATCCCATGAGAGATATCTGAAATCCTGCCAGGAGGGAAATCCTCAAGAACAGATTTAAAACGTTCTGCTAAGTTTCTCTATCACAAACTCTCAAAGCCAACTGTTTGGGTCCCTTCCCAGGGAAGAAAGAGCCGGGACAGGGAGCAGACAGCATTGGGCACAGCACCCTTTCCGGGCTTCCTCTTCTAAGGATCTCCTCACAGACTCCTTCCAGCTTACCTGCCACCCCGTGGTCCTACCTTCTCTCTGCCTCATCTCCCTACTCGCGCTCCCTCTGTCCCTGCCTGCCGTCTTCGTTCTCAGGCCTCAGTATGCCTCCGCCTCAGTATGCCTCCGTAAAAGCTCCTTCTCCTGGCATTGGAATTATCGCTATTAAAAGGCTGCCCCCTGCTGGAGTTGAGAGGAGAGGACACATACTGGTCCAGGGTGCTCACAACAGGCTGGCAGAACAGGAGGGAAGCCTGTTCTCTGGGGTTCAGAACTCTCAGAAGAAAAAGATGCAAAGAATAGGCGGTCCTAGGACATGCTAAGTTAACGTTATTTCCTCATTCCATCACCCCTAAAATTAGCCCCATTCCAGAGCAATGTGCCTTGGCACAAGGAGGTACCACTATTAACAGAAGTGGAGTCCCAAATTCCCCAACATCTGAGCAACCAGCAGCAAACAGCCCAGTTCTGAGCCTGTTGGGAGATGACTCCACCCTTTCTCAGGATAGAAAGATTCTCCATGCATGGTAGGATAACTCGGAGGCTTAGGAAGGGGTACAACCGTGTACCCCCCCGCCTGGTCAGTTAGCACAGCTCTCTACTTCTCTGAGCCATCACGAGAAACAACACCCGCTGGCATGTCTACTGGTTAAGTTTTCAAAGCGCTTTCACACTTTACCTCACTTGATCCCTTCTGCCTACTTGCCCAGTCTTGGGACCCAGCCAGGGAAAACAAGGGAGGGAGGATGCAGCTGCCCCCACAGGGGACCCCATGTTCCTAGACACTCTTTGAGACTGGAGAAGGGATAGTTTTAAGCCGCTTTAAATTTCTCCTTAGAATTTTTTAAATCTCTCACATAGCAATCTCTCCTCCCTTTCTCTGGTCCGAAGTGGGGCTGCTTTTTCTATTCCTAACTCCAACGACAGACAAGGGCACACTAGGGTCCCTGGATTCATCAGATCACAAAACTAACTTGTCCAATGGCTAAAAAAAGGCAGGCCAGAGGTCTAGGAACACAACTCACTTGACTGTAATCACCATATGGGACCCTTAAGGCCCCATGGCAGCAACACCAAGCCCAGATTCGTTTCAGGCCTTCCCAATTACACAGGAGACCTACAACTAGGAAATAAAACTGGAGCTGGGTGAGGGATTGGTGGCCTGGGACTGCACAGGGAAAAGTACAGATGAGGGATCCTGAGGGTAAATTCCCACATCCTGAGTGGCAAAGGGACCAGCCTGTTGGTATCCATGGGGCTTGGGATGAAGAGACCAGGGGCTGGGGGGCGCCAAGGTACAACTGGCATGTCAGCTGGAAGGGACAGTGGAGAGGTGGTGTGCAGGGTGAGTTCTGGGTAAGCAGCAGTAAGAAGCAAGAGGGGAGTGAGCCTGGGGTGAGTGGCGGAAATAAGAGGCCAGCAACTGACTTAGCATCTCCCAGGGCTGGAGCCCTATGAAAGACCAGGAAGCTTACTGGGAATTGTGGTAATGACTGGGTAAGAAATGCAAGATGAGGGTCTCTTTCAAGTTAACTTGGGGAGGGGGAGAGGCAAAGTGTGAGGGGCCATGGCCGGGGAGCTGCTGCATCAAGAGGCGCTGGGCTGGGAAGAGCCTGGCCTGGAGACAGGAAAAGACTAAGGTGTTAGAAACGGCCGAGCAACAAGGAGGAAGGAGACCCCAATGACCAAGCACTAATGTCGCCCGTCGAAAGGAAATTTAGGTGAAGACCCAGCCGAGGTGCTTCGGTGAAGAGGGAAGGCTTCCACGTTGGCCAAAGTCATGGAACGCCTGGACTTTAAGACCCGCAGGGCCCAGCTAATTCCGACAAGAGCCCAGAGACACACTGGGGAAGTCTCCCGGGAGTGCCGGGCATTAGGGTCGGGGGCCCCCGGGCGGGCCCGGCGGATGATGCGGGTGGACGGGAGGGGGCCGGGCAGGGCTGCCGAGGGGCCGGAGGGCGACCGTTAGGAGCGCGGGGGTGGGAAGGAGGCGGGCCGCCCGGGAGGACAGCGTGCCCTTCAGGGAGGGGCGCCAGGTGCGCGGGGCGAGGGGCGACGGCGGCCGCCCACCCGGAGGGGGCCGGCCTCCCTCGGGGCCGCGCCGGGGAGGGGCCGGCGGGAGGGCGGACGCACCGGGCGGCGGCGGCGGCGGCGGCGGCCTGGGCAGAGACGCGGGAGGGTCCGTGCCGGCGGCCCGCGCTCTCGCTCTGACTCTCGCAGGCTCGGCGCGGCCGCCTCGGCGTCGGGGGCGGGCCTGCCCCGGGCCCGGCGGCGGGCCGGGGTCCGCAGGGCCGCCGAGCGCTTACCGCGGCGGGCGGCGCGAGGCTCCGGTGCCGGGGCGTTGGCGGCGCGCGCGGCGGGCCAGGGGGCGGCGGCGGCGACGGCAGCGGCAGCGGCGGCGGGGGAGGGGGCGCTGGCGCTCCCGCGGCGGCCGCTCCTCTCTGTTTGTGTTTGTAGCAAGATGGCTGCCCGCCTCGCACCACGTGACGCGTCCGCGGGGCCGCCCCCTCCGCCGCCGCCGCCGCGGCCGCCCCCTCCGCCGCTCCGGTGCCCAGCGACCCGCACGGCCTCGCGCCCGCCCCGCCTGCCCAGTGGGGAGCCCGGACGCCCGCCGCCCCCGACCGCCCGCACCCTCCCGCAGGTGACCTGAGGCCTCGCTCGTCACGTGACGCAGGGCCTGCAGCTGGCCAGGGGGGTCGGGAGGGGGTTCCCCCCCCCGCGGCGCTCCCCGGCCGCCCCCCGTCTCTTTCGCGGCACGTGACACGAGACCGTCGCGACGGAGGTGGCATCGCAGGGCTTGCCTTGCCAGTCGGCTTCCTCCAGGAAGCCTGCCTGGGTTGAAGGAGATAACATAATCCAGAGGTGCGTTCATCAGACGTCCGGGGATATGTGAAGGAACTAATGATTTGGAAACTGTCCAAGGCAGCCCTGGCTGGTGAGACCCATTCCGTCTGGCTCCGCCACCCACTAACTTCTGGACCCCCGGGGAGGGTGGGGGGGGAGATACAGTCAGGTGTTAATGCTGTTCTCCGCCCCACCCCACCCCCCATCTCCACTACTCTCCCTTCCCCAAGTGCTGAATTAAAATAGGTGAATATGAAAGGCTGTTAAAAGAGATAAATTATTATGCAAATGTAAGTAGATTGGCACCTTCTTTGTTGAAAAAGGGGCGTTTCAAGAAAGACTTTTTTAAATCCCTAAACTTTTAGGATGAAAGTTTTTTTTTTTTTCCTATGTGTATTTCCACCTTTTTTTTGCAGGGTGAGGGTGGGGGATAGTTATTCCAGAATGTATGCCTCGCTTTCCAGCTTCCTAAAACAGCTGTTAGCAAACACAATGTAATCCTTCTCAGGACCGGGAAAAGTAAAGTCAGACTGGGAATTTGAGTCCCTTTGGTTGTGCCATATTGGAGCACAGACCTCAGGAGCTACCAGAAGGCCCTTTGTTCCTGCACCCAGTGTTCCCCCAGCTTCTAGGCACTTGCAGTTTTAGTGTCTGTTTTTTTTTTTTTTTCCCAGTTCCCTTCACATTCCTGCAGTCAGGATTTCTATCTTAATGCTACCAGTCTCACTGCATGCTGGGCGGCTGGAAGATGGCTGTTGTTTAAAGCAAGGGTTCCCGTTCGGGTTTCATTCATTACTGCCTGTGGCCTTGAAAATAATCTCTTCCGTCTCTTGAATGTATGGTAAAACATTTAACATAGTACTTGGCACAGGGCAAGTGCTCCACAAATGTTAGCTGACAGGGGCTCCTGGTTCCAGCAGGGTGGACAGTAATAGATTGTTAACACTGTATAAAAATGTATCAGTAGGGTGCCTGGGTGGCTCAGTGGGTTAAGGCTCTGCCTTCGGCTCAGGTCATGATCTCAGGGTCCTGGGATCAAACCCCACATCGGGCTCTCTGCTCGGCAGGGAGCCTGCTAACCCCCTCTCTCTCTGCCTGCCTCTCTGCCTGCTTGTGATTTCTCTCTCTGTGTGTCAAATAAATAAATAAAATCTTAAAAAAAAAAAAAGAAAGAAAGAAAGAAATGAGTATCCCTAATATTTTTTTAATTAAAAAATAAAAATGTATCAATAAAACCCAGGCTTGGGTGAGAATTCTTCACCTAAAGTTCATAAATGTAGGACAGTTTTTTGTTACTCAAAAACTTGTTGCTGCTTTTTGTTTGTTTTTTAACTTTTCTAGATTGTGTTCTAGGCTATTCAAGTTCCCAAGCAGCCTAGCTAATCTCTGAATGAGTAAGGTTTTAG